GAGACTTCTTCCTCCCTTAGTTTCTAGAAGAGTATAGTGCCTAAAATTCAACAAATCTTTGTTGAACTAATACATTTCTTTTATTTCCCTATTTTTTTTCAATCCTCCTTAGTATCCTTTGCTGTTCCTTTTCTTCCTACCCCTTCAAATAACCATGTTCTTCAATGTTCAGTCCTTTTCTTTTGAAATTGATGACAGGAGAGTCAGCTAACAGTTTCTGAGTGCTTACTTGCTTTTCTCTTGAGGGTTTTATTCACATGCTTTACCCCATTTAATCCTCAAAACAACCTAAGACACAGGAATCTTATTGTCCACAATTTGTTTAGCATTTATCATGTGCCAAGCGCTAAATGCCTTATATGTATCATTTCATTAATCCCCATTACAACCTTGAAGCTGTTAATAATCTTAACTGTTTTAACAAGGAAAATGAGACATTGAGATGTCCAATAAATTTCCCAAGGTCTCAGTGCACAGAGTGATGGAAACAGACTCGAATTCAGGCACTCTAATTCCACAACATACACATATAATACCTGTTTGTCTATATTCTTCTCCACAACTGATGTCATTCAATTTCTCACAGCCTCAACTACCACCCTGTGCCAATGAGTTCAAATGTCTTTGGCTCTAGTATCTCTTTGGGGTCACAGACCATCTATATCAATGTGGTTATTAGAGCTTCCCCCCCCCCCCCCGCCCCCGGAAGTACTGGATTGAATTCAGGGATCCTTTACCAATGAGCTTTACATCCCCAGCTTTTAAAATTCTGAAACAGGGTCTTGCTAAGGTGCAGAAGCTGGCTTTGGACTTATAATCCTCCTGCCTCAGCCTGCTGCATTGCTGGGATTACAAGTGGTTCCACCATGCCTGGCTAGAACCTCCTTTTTTTTTTTTTGGAACCGGGGGTTGAACCCAGGGCCTTGCAAATGCAATGCAGACACTTTGCCACTGAGCTACATCCCAGCCCCTAGAACCTCAATTTTTGACAAAGCTAAATTTGGATACAGGTAACAGTCTCTACAAAATTCCTCATCCTACAGCTTAGTGTTGGTTACTGACTCCAGCAGGTCACTTAAGTCAGAATGCTGAAAACTTTCTGAATACCTCCCCTTCTCTTGTACCATACAAGTAAGGTCACCAAGGCCTGGCAATTATGTCTTCAAAATAAATAAATAAAATCTGTTTCTTCTTGTTCGAAATCCAGCCACAATTTTAGTTCATCTCCTTATTCACAGGCTTGGATTACTGCACCAGCCCTATCTCAGTAAATTATTCATTCCTCCCTCTAGGTCTGTCCCCACTTTCAAGCACTTTTCTGGAAAATCATTTTTCTACAATTAGCTTAGAAACTTGATGACTTCCTACTGTCCTGAAAATAAAATTTTAACTCCTTCTTCAGCATATCATAAAAAGGATACAACAGAGTTTGGTCTAGAGTACATTTTAGGCCTAATTCCTCACAACCATCCCTATGTATCCCACTTGACTCATTTTTAATCCTCTACAGTGGAACATGTTCTTTCTCCTTTATATCTATACCTATCTAGTTTTCTTTGATTCACTAACTGCCACTCATCCTTTGAAGACAGCTTAAAAATAATCTTTCCTGTGAAAGCTTTCTGGATTTCTACTATGGCTAGTGCTATCCCAATTCTGGGCTTAACAATCAAAAAGGGCTCAATTATGCTTATTTTGTACCACTTAAAAACATGGATGGAAAATCATGGGAATATTGCCTATGTCAATATGCACTGACTGAGAAAAAGATTTGATTAAATACCTTCCAGTCTTTTGGATCAAGTGTTTTCAGCATGGGAAATTCTTCCAGCTGCAATTCCTCATCTTCTGATTCCTCTGATAACTCTTTCTTATCCTCCAGTTCCTGAAAAGAGGCAGAAGCATTTCTGGTTCTCCTCTTAACAAAAGCTTCAAACCATCTTCCCACAGGTTCAACTTGACAGAGTGCAGAGGCTGTGATTGAAATTGGTAAGAGAGGCTTCAATGTATTACATGAAACAAGTCTGTTTCAGGGCAATATATTTTCTTAGGAAGATTAAAACAGTGATGCCATTAGAATATAATTTTAAAATCACCAACTATAAAAATAATTGCAGTCATCCTATTTACATGAGGGGTAGCAAGAAATTATCATTTCTAGTATCTACAGAGTATTCCATCAAAGTTGTCCAGATAACTAAAAAAACATAAAACCATTCAATAATGTCCATAATAAACCAATACTTTTCTGTGGATAAAAGACTGGTAGGGAACAGGAAGAAATGTTGCAAATTGCTTTACTTTTATACCAATAATGGAAATGAAGCAATACATAATGATAAACTGTCACTAGGAATTAACCTCCAAAAAAAAAAATCAACTCAAACTATCTCAATTATTAAAATCTTGAATTAAAATAGCTCCTAATAATTTTAAGGATTCACTAGCAAGATTGTTCCTAAAGATAATTTTACAAGCAGCTGATGGGGACTTACTAATGCTGCTGTGCTGTTAGATAACCTTGGGATCTAAACTCAGAAGCTATGAGCTTTAGTCTAGGTTTGACAGTGTATCTTGAAATGATTCAGAGAGGTCTTCAACTATAAAATGGGAACAATACGTAGGTCATTTAGTTCCTAGAAACATTGAGAACGCATAAAAGAACTCTGCAAACTACACTGCTGTAAGAAAAGCATTGTATATCTGTATATTGGTAACTGAAAAATAGCAATTTGGGTCAGGGAAGGGGGATAAAAAGACTCAAAACCACATTTAACAAGCACCAATGAAAGTGGCAACGGGAATTTGAAACCCGAGACTTCCACAACTTTCCTAAGCTATAAATCAGAATCTACAGCAGCAGAACAAGTTTCACTTGTTATGACTGCCTTTAAAGTCTATCTCCGCCAACCTTTCCAGCAGCCCAAGGAGGGGTCTTTTAATACTTTAGAGCAGTGTCTGAGTTCTGACGTTTAAACTACAAAGCCGGAGCAAACGTACAGGAGAAAAAAAGTGTTAAGGCTTTGTACAATCCCAGACACGTGGGGTGTTTGCAGCTGGTAGTCTCTTCGCCGAAAGCAAGGAGATGCTTATGGGTATCTTTCTGGGGTACTGGAGAGTTCGGTCCCGAAGTGTTCAGAAGGATCCATGAGTCAGCAGCCCCAAGAAAAGAAAACAACCTTAGGGGCAGAAAGATGCCCGCAAGCCGCTCAGTCTTCCAATCTAGAGCAGGATTACTTTAAAGCAGGGAGCAAAAGGGCACTTGTGACTGCCCCACAGAACCGGGAGCTAAACGCCGGGGTCAAGGGTAGAGAAATTACAAGATTGCGAGAGGGAAAACTGAGGTAGGGGCGGCTGAAGCGGGACGGACCCGGAGTTGGTGGGCACGTACCAGAGGTCAGAGCGTGGGTGATGGCGGTGCCCTGGCCGTCCGCGGCGCTCGGCAGGAGCAGCATGATGGCGCTAGGGCTAGCCCTGCGGGCGCAGCGGCTCACGTCCCCGGCGGAAGGCCCTCTGCGTTCCCTCCAGCTCTACCTCCCCGTCCGAGCCTGGCGCCTAGGCTCTACGACGCTCAGGAACCGGCGCGTGGACACAAGCAGCAAGCACTTCCGGGATGGGTCTTTCGTGGTGTGGACGCCAATCCCACCCCCACCCATCCGCGCCAACGTGTGCTGCAACCTAGTTCCTCTACCCACTCAGATCCGGCTGGAGACCAAGGCGCACGAAAGAACGGTTCCTAGACTTATTAGTACCCATGTAGAAAGGATTATTTTTACAAGCCGTAGAAAATAACTTTTAAAAGTTATTTGCATATGTTTCTCTCTCTCTCTCTCTCGCTCTCTCTCTCTCTCTCACACACACACACAGTAAAAACAGCTACTTCTAGATTGTAATTTTCAAGATCCTTCTTTATGTATTAGCCTGAACCTAACCACTGATTTATTTTTATTTTTTACCAGTAGCTCTACTTGTACAAATACATACACTTATGTACGTATACCTGTGATGCAATTTGTCATGCTATTATTCGTTTACCAGCATTATCTCTTTTAATAATCATTTGGAGAAAAAAAACACCCTCTAGCGTTAGATTCTATTTCAAGGCCAGCATTATTTTTATCCTGTCCTAACAGAATGAATTTTTATTTCAAGATATTTCCAATGACAGGGTTCTGGGTTTTGTTTATTTGATGTATATTAAAAGTCAATTGTATTTCTACTATAAGCGTCCTTCTATGACTGAGGTTAAAAAAAAAATTCAAAACGTGCAACCCCCCCCCCCAAACTTTTCCAAAGCTATCACACCATTCTACAGTCCCATCAGGTATACGTAATTTCATTCTCCACCCCCCACCCCCATCGTTGCCAAACTTACTTTTAAAAAAATTTTATAGTAACCATTCTAATGGGTTTGAGGTGGTTTTGATTTGCCTGTCCTTAGCAGCTATGTTGAACACCTTTTCATGTAGTCTGTCCTTTATATACCTTAAGAGAAATGTAGACTCAAGTTCTTTGCCTCCCTGCCTGCCTTTCTTTTTCTTTGCCCATCTTAAAAATAAAGTTGTTCTATGATTGAGCTGGAGGAATTCTTTGTATAGTTTGGATATTAATACCCTATGAGAAAAATATTCTTCGTTCTAGTTTATAGATCTATCCATCACTTGTGCCAGGCATTTTGCAAACACTGTTTGATCTGGCGTCTTCCTAATCCTGTGAGGTAAGGAGGAAATTAAAATTCAGAGATTAAACACATTACACAAATTGGCCACACTAACTCAGGATTTAAACTCATCGACTGAGCCAGGGTTGGTCCTGGAATTTACTGCTACGGGATCTTACGAGACTACAGACGGTGAGGGGCCAGAATAGACCATCGTTTCCTTCTAACACGTACGCTTTTCTCCAGCCACGACCGGGGCTAGAACGTGTTTCCTTACAAGGCTCTCGTCATCTCTCAGGTGCAGAGCAAACCAGCACCAGGAGCCGGTTCTACTTCCGGTGGGGAAGGGAAAGGGAAAGCACCACCGGAAGCGAGGAAGATGCTGTGTAATCACTGAAAAAGTAAGGGAGGCACTCGCATCCTAAAAATGCCGGATTACCTCGGTGCGGATCAGCGGAAAACCAAAGAGGATGAGAAGGACGACAAGCCCATCCGAGGTCAGTTGAGACAGGCATGATCTCGGAGCTGGGTGGGACCAGCCTTGGCACTGGAGAGGAGCTAGATTCTCGTCCTGGCTCGGTGTTCTGTTCCTTTCTGACCCAGTAATTTAGTCCGGGGCGGCAATCCCGGGCCTGCCTTCTCTCTCGTCCTCCTCCCGCTTCAAGTGGTGAATTCATCTGTTGCTGGTCGAATTTTTAATTAATTTCCATCTCACGGGAATTGAAGATGTTACGCACTCTGCAGGGCCTTACAGGCCTGCAGAAATTCCCTCGCCTGGCGGTGTTTGGTTACCTCATCCTCCTATCGAACCTCCGCCAACGGCCCCCAGAGTGTGACAATTTGGTACTATAACAGTGTAGCCAGAATCCTGAGACAACATTGTCTTTAAAATAACAACTTATTTGACTAGATAATGCATTCACAAGTTTCAAAATTCGAGAGTTAGGAAAGAGGCATTTTGAAGTCTCCCATCCTTGGCCCCAGCCACCAGCTTCTCCATGGAAGTAGCTAATGTTGACATTTTACGTAGCCTTCTAGACGTTTTCTATACAAACAATTCTACTTTTGTATTTTCTATTTTTTTTTTTTTACATAAATGCAGCATGCTCTGCAGGCTTCAACATCTTGCTTTTTAAAAATATATATTTAGAAATAATTTCATTGTAATGCTGTTTGTCTTTCTGCATCTATATAGTATTCCATCGTATGGGTGTATGATAATATATTTAATAAGGCATTGATGACGTTTAGATTTCCCTGGTCACCATTATAAAGCACCTTGTTCATATAACTTCCACGTGAAGTTGTAGTGTAAATTCTAGAAGTGGCGTTGCCATTTGTTTCTTTTGAGCTATTTTAAAATGTTATGGTGTTTTGAAATGTTTTTCTCTTACTCTTCCCTTTTGTAACTTCAACTTTTACTAGAACCCCCTTTTCACCATTTACACCCTCCTCCCAAAGAAAAAGCATTTTCTGTCCTCATTCTACTCTAGTCTCCTTGAAAGTCTTGTTAAGACTGAACATTTCAGAGGTACTAAGTACCTGTGAGAAAACCTAATCACAGAAATTCGCTATTTGATATGCATAGTGATCTATGTGATTCTCTATATTGTTTTGTAAAATTAACAAATTTGGACATAGTTACAACTAATATGTATATTGAAATTCAGGTGTTTCTTAATCGGTATCTTATTTGATCTTTACAGAAACACTGAAGGTAAAATGGTGTTATCTCTGTTTTTCAGGTGATGAAACTAATACTAAGATTTTAATGTTTTTACAAGGTTATCTAGCAAATACATGACATTTTTAGGCCTAGCCCCAGATTGTTTCATTCTCAAACCCCTTGATGTTCTGGCCTGCTATTCTGTGGCATCATTTTGAGTATTTTCAGTGGTTGTGTTGATGATCACTGATCACCTCAATTCTGGCAATTTCTGTTATCATTGCACTTTAACCACCTAAGGAGTTGATACTGTTAGACTTTATTATTAACAGAAGCTACTTAATTTCTATTAAACTTCACATTTCTCTTTCCATCACAACCTTTTGCTCTTCAGTCTTCATTATCACTGAACCTTAACCTGACCTCACTTTTGATCTGTTTCAATCTGGTATCTTATTCTTCCCCGCTCAGACTGTTCCTATTTTTTTGTGGTAACGTAGTATACCCAATTTTTGCTCATTGCATTTTTTTTTCTCTGTTTAATTCTGAAAGTCTCAGTGTTTCTTGTCTTTTCTCTGCTCACAGGCTGCCAACATTGTTCAAACAAGTCACAGAAATCTCATTGATGAATTTACTTCCAACTTAATCCTTCAGGTCTCAACTGAGAAGTATTGCTAATGCCCTTTCACTTTGTGGTTGTTTCAAATCTTTTACACATTTCTCAAGTCTTCAGTTAGTTCCGGTCTTCCTGGCTGATGATTTTTTTTTCTCTCTGCTGAGAAGATTGAAAATGCACTGTTAACTTTTCTATTATCATCCGTTTTTTGTTTTGGTCCTGCCTCAGAATGTGATGTTATTTTCTGTCAAGTCTTAACCTTCCCATATCTGTTCCTGACCCTTTCCCTTCCTCCTCTAGAACTTTGTTTCATCAATTACCACCTCTTTTGTTTGTTTTCTTATGGGCTTTCCTTTTGTTCCTGTGAATATACTAATATCAATTTTATCTTAAAACCACACACAATTGGGAAGATTAGTGTTTTTGTTGTTGTTTTGTGTGTGTGTGTTTGCCCATGTTTGAAGTGCTGGGGATTGAACACTATCATTGAACTGTAACCCCAGCCCTTGTAAAGATCTTTCTATTCTTCTATCTATCCTTTCAAGCTACAACCCATTTTCTTTTTTTATCTGAAAGTGGCTGAAAGGGTGGACATGAGAGTTAGGAAGATTTGAATCTTGACTTTGCTTCTTACTTAGTGGACGAGTCACATTCAGTTTTTCTAATGTATAATATGGAAACAATTGTATTCACTTTACAAGTTTATATAGGATTAAATGTTATATCTATGGCATTTATTTATCTGTAGTCAGTGAACTTTTCAATAAATGGCAGCTATGATTACTATTATGCTCACTAGTCCATTTCTTCACTACTGCTCCTTTTTTCTTTCTTTCTTTTTTTTTGGTCGTTCTGGGAATTGAAACCAGGGATGCTCAACCACTGAACTACATTCACAGCTCTTTTTTTTTTTTTATTTTAGACAGGGTCTCACTGAGTTTTCAGGCTAGCCTTGAACTTGTGATCCTCCTACCTTAGCCTCCCAAATTGCTGGGATTACATGCTTGTGTCACAGCACCTAGCTCTTATTAAGTTTTAAACCTCCTGAAGTTTGGTTGCTGTGTTTGTAAATCTAATTGATCATTGGTTTTTTAATCTAAGACCCTTTACTATTTTTTCAGTCCTAATCTTGATGTTTTTGACATTGTTACACTTGGGCCTCCTTTGGTTTCTCTTATTGAATCTTTCTGTTTATCCTCCCTGTCCTCACATGGTTTCTCTGCATTTTTGTTACTAGTGATTTCATTCTCATCTTGCACTGCTGCCTCTCAAATGTAATTCCCTAATCTTTTTTACTTCATACACTGGTATCTGAATTATAGAGCCAGATTACTGTCTGTCTTCCAGGTTGCTGCTTTGGGATACACTGGTGTTACAGAGTTCCCAAGACTGTGTCCTCAGATTCAGTAATGATCATTAGGTGGACTCATAGGACTTAGCATACTATTTTCCTTATTACTCTGATTTATTATAGCAGAAGGATACAAAACAAAATCAGCAAAGACAAAAGGAAAATGAGACACGGGTGAAGTTCAGGGATAAATTTCAAAGGTTCGTTGTGCTTGTGGATTCACACAGGTGCTCCTAATTTTCACAGTAACAATTGTGACAGCGTGTAAAATATTACCAACTAGGGAAATTTGTTAGATAGTCATTGCCAGTTTTTTTATTGGGGACTGATCATGTAGACACTGTCTGCCTACCACATACCAAATTTCACACTCTTCGAAGAAATGCAGTTGTATTTGTACAAAGGGTTTAGACAGTGAACTACTACTCATTGTCAGTTCTGGAAATGGTGGGAACACTCTCAAAAATTCATGTTTTCAGATACCATTCAAGGGTTAACCTTGTAAACAGAGCTTTCAGATGCCATGGTAACTCTTCTGAGAGGTAGAGTAATACAACAAACTTAAGAAAATGGAAACAGAACTGGATTTTCCCCTCTATTTTCATTGGTTTTTTAATCCAAGACCCTTTACTATCCAGTTTTTCTTATGATTTCTCTTGAAAGTTACCACCTTCTCTGGGATATGCAGTGTAAAGCCTGGGCATCATTTTGATTCTTCTCTTCCTTAGCTCCTGGCATTTAGTTGCCATGTGCTGCAGATTTCTCCTCCAAGGACTTTTTATCTAGCTCTTTATTTCTCTTTTCATTGCCACCATCATATGTCAGGCTCTTGTGACCTCCAAATGGCCTCACATACTCCAGTTTGTTCTCCATACATTAGCTAATTCTTCCTAAGGTACAGTTCCTATGTGTCAAGATGTGCCATGTCCTGTCTTAATTCACTCTAGCATTCTTGGACTACCTCACCAGGGCCCCAAACATCCAACTACTTAATTACTCACTAACCATACTATGTTTCAGTTAAATTGGTCTAGTTGGCAGTAACCTGCATGTTTTTCTGACTTTTACTTATACTTATTGGGGAAGGTGGGATCCTGCCCTGTGAAAATAGCTTGTCCTTGTAGGCTCAAAAACGTTTTTTTCTTGAAATATATAGAGTTGACTTTTGTTACTCATAGTAGGTTTGTTTTATAAATTCTAGGAAATAGGAACTAGGAAATACTGAACCATTGCTCCTAGGGGAAATACACACATATTTCACATGGAGTATAATCTTAGATACTAAAAGTGACTCATCCTGTTAGATTGTTGTTTTTATTTTACAAAAAAAGAGAAAACAAGTTCAAAAGTATTGACTTGTCTAATGCTGTTCCCATTAGCAGATTCCAGAGTTGGGATTCAAACCCATCCAACTGGTGGCTAAGTTTCTTGAACTATATTGCGTTGCCCCGCCTTCTCCATCCTGTGGTCTTCTGTATGAGAGCTGAAACAGGAGAGCATTCTGTGCATGATCACAAATGATTGCAAATGCACATTGGGGGATTTACACATAATTTTAGTGACTACACACATTCACTAATGCAGAATTGCCATTTAAAGAGGATTTACTATAAATAACCTGAAATTTCAGATAACCACTGTTAACATTTAGATGAACACCAGTTAGGGCTAATCTTCATATGTGTTTTAAAGAATTTTTATATAAAAAATTATATGCACGTCTTATATTTTTTTAAAACCTGCTTGTTTTACTTAAAATGATACTTCTTTTAGCTTTCTACTGTACTGTTATAATTTTTAATGACTACATTGTATTTCATTGTAATAACATAGTGTAATTTATTCAACTAAGATCCTTAATGGGAAAAAAAGATGCTTAATGGTTGTTTTGGTACATATTATATAAAGTACATAAATGTTAATCATGTATACTATGTATTCATCTACTTATTATGAATTATTTATTCATTTTCCCAATAATTAGGTCATTTCTTAAATCCAGGAACTATTTGATTGTTGTATTTATATCATTGTAATTTTACTCAAGTTTTGGCACTCAAAACAATTTGAATTGAACAGAAAAGTTGTTTGAATTTCATTTATTGTCATTTTTCTTTTAGCTCTGGATGAGGGGGACATCGCCTTGCTGAAAACTTACGTAAGTCCTTAAAATGTCTAGAAAACGTAAATGTTTTATGTTAAAATAAAAAAAAGTTTTGGTTTTGTTCTTCCATACTAATTAGAGGAGAATGTCAGGTAGTTCACAGTAATCTTCACTGAAAAGTTAATGACCTAAGCCTGTCTAGACTAGATCAGCGCATTCAGCAATCTAAGCTGCTTATACATACTTTTTATACTTTTCATAATTAAAGTGTGGTACTACATGGGAAGATATTTGAAATAATTTACAGAAATATTTACTATACTTATTATGTATGTAACTGAGATATGAATGATAGAGAGGTTTTTTTTATTATTATTATGTATTTGTTTGTTTATTTTATGGTGCTGGGAGTTGAACCCAGGGCTTCATGCCTGTTTAGGCAAGCACTCTACTGCTGAGCTATATCCCCGGCCCTTGAAATGGAAAGTTTAAATGCATAGAAACGGATTTATTTTTATTTGTTATCTTGCATAATGGCCAATGGTCTGGGGAAAAGTAATTGACTTAGGAATACTTCTGAAAATGGTACACACTCTGTGTTTCACTTCATGGGCTTTGGGACAATAAATACTAATAAGATTGTAATTGTTAAAAAATTTTATCTGTTGTTTAGTAAATTGTTGATATCTGATCTTCATCACCCAGGGTCAGAGTACTTACTCCAGGCAGATCAAGCAGGTTGAGGATGACATTCAACAACTTCTTAAGAAAATTAATGAGCTCACTGGTATGTATTTTTTAATCCCGTTTCCTCTCTTTAAATGTAATGTGTTAATTATAGTAAGAGTTTAAATGCAAATTTTAATCTTTCATAAATTATAAATTTTAAAAGAAATTATTATTCTTCCTCTATTAAGAAATTAGATCTTACTTAACAGTCTCTTTCACTGCTTTTTTACAAGGCTTAATGCTTATGTATTAAAAAACATCATCATCCTCTAAGCAAGTGATGTTTCTGTTGATGAAGGCCTTATTTAGTAAACTCCAACAAATGCAGCAAATAAAATTTTGAATAAAAACATTATTTCACATAGTATTGCTGGAGTAAGCAGAGTATTGCCTGGTAGTGGAAACTTTTCTTTTTGGGAACTTTAGCAGTGAAGTTTTACATTTTTTGACCTACATGAAAGATGTCAAGTATTTCATTAAATTTTTTGGTTTGATAATTACTTTAGGGCAGTGATATTTTCAAGTTGGGCGATTTTGCCCCCCAGGCCTTTGACAATGTCTGGAAACCGTCTTGATTCTTCTGACTTGGGGGAAGGCAATATTAGTAACATCTAGTGGCTAGAGGCCAAGCATGATGCTGAACATCATACAACATATAGGATAGTCCCCATAACATGCCAATAGTGCTAAGGTTGAGAAAGCTTATGTTAGGAAAATGTATTACATTTTGGTAAATTTTGTTGTTTTTCTCTCTGTAGGTATTAAAGAATCTGACACTGGCCTGGCCCCACCAGCACTCTGGGACTTGGCTGCAGACAAGCAAACTCTCCAGAGTGAACAGCCTTTACAGGTTGCAAGGTATACACAATTTTCTGTAGAAATTTATTGTTATCTAGTATTATCTTTTTTAAAATATTAATTTTTTGGTTGTAGTTGGACATAATACCTTTTTTTAAAATTTATTTTTTATGTGGTACTTAGGATCGATCCTAGTGCCTCATGCATTCTAGGTGAGTGCTCTACCTCTGAGCCACAACTCCAGCCTGTATTTTCAAGCACTTTTTGGACTTAGGGATAATGCAATAGTTTATAGGGAATTTTTATTTGAAATTCTGTATAAATAAAAACTTTCTACAAAAGTATCTGGAGGTAAAATTTTATGCAATTATTCAAAAAGACGTAACGTCATAAGTAAAAGATTAAAATGATACAGAAATATGCAGAGCTTATTATTAAAACCTCCCTTCTCATCTTTGCTCTCTGATTGCCTCTTCCTTAAATGTAACTACTGAAAAGAGTTTGGTCTTCCTATTCCTCTGCATATCTTTATGTGTGTATCAGCATGTAGAGAAACAAGTGGAAGGTTTTTTAAGACATAACTACACTGGTTTGGAAATCTTTCATTATCTTTAACATAGGCGTTACATATCTTTAACATTTACTTCTTTAATTTTTTTAAAAAGGGAAAAAAGAAATAATCTGTTGATACAAGCAAGCAGTTTGTAATTTTGTTATACATAGTGCCCTAATTAAACATTTCTCTGTGTACATGCATACATTTCTTTTTTTTCTTTTTTTTTTTTTAAGAGAGAGAGAATTTTTTAATATTTATTTTTTAGGTTTTTTTTTTTTTCGGTGGACACACATCTTTATTTTATTTTTATGTGGTACTGAGGATCAAACCCAGCGCCCCGTGCATGCCAGATGAGCGCTTTACCACTTGAGCCACATCCCCAGCCCACATGCATACATTTCTATAGGTTAGTTTACTAGAAGTGATTTATGGGGTCAGAGTCATTTACAGTTTTGAAAATCTGTGAAGCCAAGTGGTTTAACAGGTTTATACTCTTTACTTACTAAGAAGGTTTCAGTCAAATGCCTGTTTGCCTGATATATTTTTGCCAGTTTTATAGAAATTTTTCATTTTAATTTGTATTGCACTGATTACTAGTACTTCTTATTAAACATCTGTATTTCTTTGACATGTTTTGCTCTATTGGGTTCTTATTAGATTTTAGAAACATTCATATATTGTACATATTAATCTTAAATATGTTACATTTTTCAAAGTGTGTCACTTAACTTTTTGGTATATTGCTGTATGAATGTTTTAAATTTTTAGAAGGTAAAATAAATCAGTACTTTCATTGTCCCTCTTGGATGTTGATATTGCTTAGGAAAGCCCACTCCAATCCAAGGCTACATACATATTCTCTAATGTTTTAAAATTTTATTTTGATTCTTATTTCTTTAATACAGCTAAAAGTTGGTTTTTTTCCTTCTTCTACCCTCCTTGTATCTCTTTCTCCATCTTTTCGTTTACTCATTGATTTTTGTTTTATCATCATTTTAAAAACTTAATAGTTATGTAATAATAGCTGTATTTTCCAATTTCTAGAGATGTTCATTTTCACTTTTTTCAGCTGATTATTTTGTTTTCTACCTTCAGGTTCTAATGAGCACATTTACTCTTTGTGTATTCTAGATTCTACATGTCAATTTTTTCTTTTTTAAGTTTAGGTATTAGGTCTTGGCTTCCTACCATGGAAGATGAGGATTTTGTTTGGGTTTGGGGTTTGTTTCCTCCCCCTTCATCCTAAAGGTGTACCCTTCCTATCCCTATATCCTCCCAATATAATTACTATTTTGTAATTTTGATTAGGTAAGTTTTCAATGTTTATATAATTATATCCAAGTAAACTCTATTCACAAGGAGCCAAGTGGTAAACTATGATTACTTTTTCCTTTCTTATACCACTTTTTGTTATCCCTGTTAGAATCAACTTGTTTCCCGTTTGCCTGGTTTTCTATATACTTTACTAACTTTTGAGTTTTTTTTTTTTTTCGTCTAAATTGTTCTTCAGATGCATAGATCCATCAGGTTGTTTTCTCAGCTTCATCTTCCTTGAGTATTTCCTAGCACTTTCTGACCTGCTTTATTGCCCACCCCTAACTTCTCATTTTCAATAAATTTACCCAAGCCTTCCTCTGGCATTCCTTGCTACCCCATTTTACTTTCTACAGAACAGCGTTTAACAAACTTTTCATAAAGGGCCAAATGGTAAATATCTTTGACTTATTTATTTATTTATTTTTATTTTTACATACATGACAATAGTGTAATGCATTACACTCAATATTACCCATTTACAGCATAGTTTTTCATAACTCTGTATAAAAGTATGTTCACGCCAAATTATGCCATTATACATATATGTACTCTTTTTTTTTGCATTACAATTCTTAATACACATATATACCACAATTTATCATATCTCTGTATATAAGTTATGTTGACACCAAATTCAAATCTTCATACATGTGTTTTGATGTGTCCAACTACAACTAAAAAATGATGCACATATGGTAAATGAGAGAAGAATCAAGAAAAATTGAATCCTAAAGGAAAATGAAGAGGCAGACATCAGTTATCTAATGATGGCTGTCACCTTCCACCATCCTTGCTATTCCCCTTCCCCTTCCCTTTCCCTCCCACCCCTTTTCCCTATCTAGAAATAATCTTCCTCCCATGCTCTCCCTCCCTACCCCACTTAAATTGATATAATCAGAGAGAAATCAAACTAATTGTAGATATTCATGTTTAAAAACAAGCAGGATTTGGCCCACAAGTAATTGGCTGATTTCTACTCTAGAGAGTAGAGGTAATCTTTTGTCTATTCAAGGGAAGTACAGGCCACATCTTCTGCCTTCACCTACATCCTATCTGGTCTCTGAGCCTTTGCTGAATTTGACCTAATCAAGGAAGATGTCTGCCTTCTTCATTTTCCTTTAGGATTCAATTTTTCTTGATTCTTCTCTCATTTACCACATGTACATCTGTTTTCTACTTTACAAAATTTAGTTGTGTATGGTCTCTTTAATATGTTTATTTCCCTTTTTTTTCTTTCTTTTTTTTTTTTTTTTTTTTTTTTAGTTGTAGTTGGACACAGTACCTTTATTTTATTTGTTTATTTTTATGTGCTGCCGAGGATGGAACCCAGTGCCTTGCACATGCTAGGCAAGTGCCTTACCGCTGAGCCAAACCCCCAGACCTGTTTATTCCCTTTTAAAAATTCCTTTCTGGTTCTAGTGGCATTATGTTTAAAGAGGAAAAAAAATGGATGCTTGCATTGAATTTTTGTGTTCAACCACAGGTCCTTGGAGGTCTTTGTTGTTTTCGTTTTTTTAATATTTATTTTTTAGTTATAACTGGACACATATCTTTCTTTCTTTATTTTTTATTTATTTATTTATTTTTCTTTCTTTATTTTTACATGATGCTGAGGATCGAATCCAGGGCCTCACACATGCCAGGCGAGCGCTCTACCGCTGAGCCACAATCCCAGTCCTGTTTTAGTTTTTTTAATATGATGTGAGGTAGGATGCTAGCTTAACTTTTTTCTGACTAAGATAGCTGTTTTCTCAGTGCGTGAGGCACTGGGTTCGATCCTCAGCACCACATAAAAATAAAATAAAGATATTGTGTCCACCTATAACTAAAAATTTTTTAAGAATCAGTAGCAGTAAAAATGTATTTAAAGAAAAAACTCATGAAAAAATGAAAACACATTTACTATTGAATTTGACATGAGATAATATGACTGTCTTCTTTTAGGAAAAATAAGAAGGAAATCAAGATACAAAGGGGTATCCCTAATAATAAATAGGAAAAAAAAATCAAGAAATTTGAGAACTTCCTAATAAAATGTTTGGATTTAATTTTCCAGGGGTATGATCATTTGAAAATTTGGTTGCCTGGCTAAAATTGAGTGGATCCTTGGGGCTGAGCATAGAATGGAATCTTTAACAGTGGCCCAGTTTCTACAGTTCAGTTCAACTTTATACTTGCTCATTAGTGTCCTACATGTCCTGATAATCTAGTTACTTGAATTCATTATTAGTGGTTTAGATTTCATACTCTAATCAAGCCTTTTGCTGTGTTAGGTGTACAAAGATAATTAATGCTGATTCAGAGGACCCAAAATACATTATCAATGTGAAGCAGTTTGCCAAGTTCGTGGTAGACCTCAGCGATCAGGTGGCACCTACTGACATTGAAGAAGGGATGAGAGTTGGGTAAGATTTCTATTTACAATAAATACGCTTCTTTTATTAAAGACATCAGGTCACATTCATACCTTGGCTTTGATATGAATGAATGAATACAGTGCCATGTATTAATAATAATATAGTACAGTTGAACAGCCTTTCTTTTCCATCCATCTACTCCCTAACTTCCTATCATCTTCCCTGCTTTCCACTCTTAACTTTTGCTTTTTTTGTGTGATTTCAAATGTCATAAAGCAAGTACATAATTTTTACAGTTGAATTTACTGGTCCATTTAAGGTAGGTAACATGGTATAAGTAGAGGAGGTACTTGCTTAAAGAGAGTTACAAGGATTGAGGTAATGTCTATAGAATACAGAATAATCCACTCAGTAAATTTTGTAAAATTTTCACTTCCCCTTTGGGTCTAGGGTTTCATTGCACTTGTGTAGGTTGTTTGCCATGTCGGGCTGGTGTTTTAGTGTCCTAACTTTTAATGTTTCTCTTTGCATAACTGTGTTTCTCTTGCTTGCTTAAAGTATGGTTTGAGGATTAAAGACTAAACATAAAGGCCCTTAGAAAGCTTAAAGAATGTGTTACTGAGTATGTTTTTTACCTCCTTAGTGTGGACAGAAATAAGTATCAAATCCACATTCCACTGCCTCCTAAGATTGACCCAACAGTTACCATGATGCAGGTAAGAAACTCTGGGAGGGAAAACAATTGGTTGGCATGGCTTCTAATACAATTGCATTCATTATTCCCAAAATTTAAGTATATGGGCATGTATCAAAAAATTGCCAAAAATTTAAAAATAACTTTTCAGTCGAGATAGTCCTTATCAACCTTTATTTTACTTGTTTGTCTTACTTATTAATGTCATAAAGATATTGTGTCCACCTATAACTAAAAATTTTAAAAAAATCAGTATCAGTAAAAATGTATATATAGAGCAAATAATTCTAGGACACTGGGCAATGTACTCCATTTTTATTAAAATTCTTGTTTATAAGTCTGATTTTTCTTTTATGATATTGAGTCTGCTGTACTGGACTAGTTAATCAAAAGTCAGTAATTATTTATGAAGCAATGTTATTGCTCTCTTAGGTAGAGGAAAAACCTGATGTCACTTACAGTGATGTTGGTGGTTGTAAGGAACAGATTGAGAAATTGAGAGAAGTGGTTGAAACGCCACTACTTCATGTAAGTAATTTCAATATTGCATTCACATTTTTGTGTTAGAAAGATGTAATAATCTTTTGTGTATTGAGCACTAAAATTGGTTACATATTAGAAAGCTGTTAAGGTTAATATTTTCCTGAATGAAAATTTTTGAAAGGGTGGGGAGGTAAATTACAGTATGTGAGGCACTGGGTTCGATCCTTAGTACCACATAAAAATGAAACAAACAAAACGATCAAAAAGGATGAAATGATTAATTTGTATTTAAAAAAAGAAAGACCTACTATTTAGATCAGTAAAGGAAATTTAGATGTTACCTCTAGCACTAGGTTAAATATGTTATAGGTTAATTATAGAAGAAACTACGTATACTAATGACATCAAGAGGAAAAAAATTAAACTTAGATCATGAAAAATTAGGTATTAAATACCAGATAATACTTTCATTCTTTAAACACTAATTTTTCTTAAGGAAAAAAAAAGGAAAATGTTTTGTTCATAACTGTTCATAAAAGTTCATAAAGCACCTTTAAAAACCATTCAGGATGGGCTGGGGATGTCACTCGGTGGCAGAGTGCTTGCCTAGCATGTGTGAGGCACTGGGTTCGATCCTTACCACCACATAAAAATGAAACAAAACAAAGGCATGCTCTCCATCTACAATTACCCAAAACAGCAACAACAACAAAAATTCAGCCTTAAATGTTGGTAAGAGTCTATCTTACATATTATAGGTAAAGTAATATTTCTTATTTATATCAAATTATAAATTATGGGCCTAATATTGATGTAGACATAGTCTTATTTTTATTATACGGAAATGATAAATGAAAAAATTCTGTCTCTGTCAACAGCCAGAGAGGTTTGTTAACCTTGGCATTGAGCCTCCCAAGGGTGTGCTGCTGTTTGGTCCCCCAGGCACAGGCAAGACACTCTGTGCCAGGGCAGTTGCTAATAGGACTGACGCTTGCTTCATTCGAGTTATTGGATCCGAACTTGTACAGAAATACGTTGGAGAGGTAAAGTAAATTCATCAAAATCAAAGAATATATAAGTCTGTTGAAGATGAATGAAATTAAAATAGTAATTCACATTTTATTATGAGGGATTGAGGACTAAAATTTCTTGAGTGTGATTGTAATTGGTGATTGAGAAATCCAGAAGTCAGCAACCTTCACTTGTGGTCATTTGGAAAAAGACAACTATTTATAATTTGACAAAGACGCCCAGGTGCAGTGGTGTACCCCTGTAATCCCAGTGACTTGGGAGGCTGAGGCAGAATGATCGTGAATTCATGGTCAAACTCAATAAGTTAGCAAGGCCCTCAATAGCTTATTGAGACCCTGTTACACAATAAAAAATAAAATGACTTGGGGATGTGGTTCAGTGATTAAACGTCCCTGGGTTCAATCCCTGGTACAAGGATTACACGTTATACAAATCTGGTTTGTGAGACAAATGACCCAGAAATGCTTGGTGAATAAAATTTTATTTCAGGGACAGTGTTTTATGGTCTAATAAGAAAAGGAGAACATCAATTGCGTATATGTATGTATGTGTGTATCTATATATGCACCTCTATATATTTAGGCACTAACTAGGACTATGAAACCTATTAATGATAAGTATACTTGAAATAAGAATTAGAAAAGGAGCCACACAAAGTTGAGATATACTTTGATTTTCTGATCCATGTTCATAAGTCAAATTTGATAATTAGCAATTCCAAGTGATAGAGCAGATGCTTTTATTTCCTTAAGTTAGTATTACTTAACAGAATCATGAAAAATTAATATTGTTTTGAGGCTAATAAGATCAATTTGATGTTAGTAGTAGCAAACTTCAATCTTTAAAAAAGATTTAGGTAAAGATGGTTGAGAATACTCTTTAAGAGTTTAAGTAGTGAAACTTTTGAAACATAACTGTGTACTTTATGTTAAAAGATTTAAAAACCAACTCTGAATTAATAAATTAGTTTTTCTCTTTAGGGGGCTCGAATGGTTCGTGAACTTTTTGAAATGGCCAGAACAAAAAAAGCCTGCCTTATCTTCTTTGATGAAATCGATGCCATTGGAGGTATGAATGGTATTTTAAAGAAATTCTTTAGGATTGGAGTTCATAAGAGCTCTAAAGTGATATGTGTTAAAGTTCTATTATGTTCATCTTGTGCAAAATTTTAATTCTGACTCCTTTATGAGCTCTGGGACCTTTAAACCACAGATCTGCTTAAGAGTAGGGCTAAACCATAAAGGAAAAAAGAAATACTATATAGTATTGACATTTTTCAAAGCCTTTATTTTTGTACAGTATCATTATTGTGACACATATTTCTGCACTTGCATTAATAACTCCTACATTGAGATGAGTTGTCTCTTAATGTGGAAGCTCTTTGTTATAATTTGATTGGTGGTGATTATTTTAGTTTACATAAGTTAGCCTCATAGATTTGATGAGATACAGTATTAGTAGTCTAGGTAACTTATTTTAACTAAGCTTCAAGCTCCAGATTGCTCAAATTATAAAGGAAATGATAATTCCTGCCTTATGGGTTTTTGAGAGGTTAAAATTAAGTAATGAATGTGATAGACTTTGAAAACACTCAACTCTCCTATAGGCATTGACTGTTGTTGTAGTCTTTAATACTCCTTAGTGGCTGGAGAAGTATCACATTTCCATGTAGTTAATTGTTATTTAATAAACTGAATGACAAAAATGACTTGAACTATTTGGGTAATGATGTTAGGTGGTTTTAGATTGCATGGGCATTGTTGGGTTTGGACATTGTGCCACTAATGTTTTCAAAGGCCATTATTTGGCTGCAGTGTAATGATGTGTAGTGTTCTACTCTAATATCATCTATAACAAACCTTATAATGTCAGGGTACTTTGAGGCTCTGGTTTCCAAAGTAGATTGTGTAGAAAAACATTGTTTTAGGGTATAGGAAGCAAACACTAAAACTTCCTTTTGTATTTTTAATCTTTATTTAAATGTCCATTTTTGGTGTTTTATTAATGTATACATTAATAATATGTATTTATATAACTTACAAGTAAAAAAAGTATATTTGCAGGCTATTTTTTCCCCCATTTTTGCTATTCTGGTTGAAATAAGACATGAGCCTAGAGTAATTTCATATATCATTCAGCTTCATAATAAACTGCTGTGGTTTATTATATTATTTAGACATTTTAAAGGAAAATTTTGAGAAAATTAAAATAGTATGATAATTTGATAATATAGTCAAACATCCATGATAGTGCTTAAGTTGCCTTAACCAAGTATCAAACAATAGAGGTGGTTAAGTGATTTATAAACAAAATTCCTTAAAGGTCTTCAAAATACTGTAAAGGAGCCAAGCATGATGGTGCACCCCTTTAATTCCAGCTACTCATGCAGTAAGGTAAGAATACACAAGTTCCAGGAGACTCAACAACTTAGCGAGACCCTATCTTAAAATTAAAAAAAAAAAGGTACTGGTACTGGTGATGTATCTCTGTGGTAAAGTGCCCCTGCATAATTCCCACTACCTAAATTAATTATAATTAAACTTTAAAGGAGACAATGTTAAGTAAATCTGTGGTGAATTCTTTTAAAAGCAAAGATTCATTTTCTAATTAGTTTTGTGTACCTGATTTGCTTCAAAGTAAGATGTGCATTTGTGCTAGAGGTAATTTGAGCTGAGACTGACAGTACCATTAAGTAGTGCTACTACTCTTGGTGGACATGAAATGTTTTTCTCTTGTTTTCTTAGGGGCTCGGTTTGATGATGGTGCTGGAGGTGACAATGAAGTACAGAGAACAATGTTAGAACTGATTAATCAGCTGGATGGTTTTGATCCTCGAGGCAACATTAAAGTGCTGATGGCCACCAATAGACCTGATACTCTGGACCCAGCACTGATGAGGCCAGGGAGATTGGATAGAAAGATTGAATTTAGCTTACCTGATTTAGAGGTAAGAAAATTATTTCATTTTAGAAAAGGAATTCTTGAGTTTTTTCTGTGTTCCCCCCCCATTTTAATACTTGTCGATTCCTTCATTTTTAGGGTCGGACTCACATCTTTAAGATTCATGCTCGTTCAATGAGTGTTGAAAGAGATATCAGATTTGAATTGTTAGCACGACTATGTCCAAATAGCACTGGTAAGAGAAAAGGTGTTGTTTATTTTGCCAGTCTGTCTGTTTGGGCTACCATAATTAAGCGTTTCTTTTCTTTTTGTTTAACAGGTGCCGAGATTAGAAGTGTCTGCACAGAAGCTGGTATGTTTGCAATCCGAGCACGGCGAAAAATTGCTACTGAGAAGGATTTCTTGGAAGCTGTAAATAAGGTCATTAAGTCTTATGCCAAATTCAGTGCTACTCCTCGCTACATGACATACAACTGAGCCTCAAAGGCTTTCAAATGACAACTTCAGTTAGAATCTTAAGACTTGTTAGTACCACCTCACAAAAAAAAAATAAATGGTTTAAAAATTGTATGCTTTTCCCCCCAGATCTCTTTTTTTCCATAGTGTAAGTTATTGGTATATAGGCAGAAAAGCTTGTTACAATGTATGTTGACTTGTTTTGATCCACCACCATTTAAAGGCTTCACATTATTATATAAAGTGCTTGCTTAAACTATATATATTCTAGGGTTATGGTGGCTGGTGGCTATATCATTATATCCTCCCATCTCCCCAGTGAAGAAGATGAAATGGATCTTGAATTAACAGATGCAAAAACTTTTCCTTCCTAATTTACTCATTGGTAGGGCTGGGATTCAAATCTAAGTTTGTTAGCTCCTTTACCTATGCACCTATTTTGCTCTTCTGCCCTCCATTAAAATAGGTCATCTACATATTGACCACATGCATTATGATAGTTTTCCTCCACCATGTTGAATAATAAACTTTTGGCCAAACCTTTTTTAAAGTGAAAAAAAATAATTTGATAAATATTTTGCTTTGCTGTTTGGCTGATTTCAAATTATCCCAGAATTGGTGATTTTTTGTATATATGACAGCGGAATGCATTACAATTCTTATTACACATGTAGGGCACAATTTTTCATATCTCTGGTTGTACACAAAGTATATTCACACCAATTCGTATCTTCATACATGTGCTTTGGATAATAATGATTGTCACATTCCACCATCATTTATAACTCCATGCCCCTCCCCTCCAACCCCTCTACCCTATCTAGAGATCATCTATTCCTCCCATGCTCCTTCTCCCTATCCCACTATGAATCAGCCTCCTTATATATAAAAAAAAAAAATTGAGCATTTGGTTTTTTGGGATTGGCCAACTTAGCATTATCCTCTCTAATTTCATCTGTCAGTGGTGATTTAATAAACAGTGAAGTAGTAGCAGGTAAAATAGAAATAAAAATGTACACATAATTAATTTAGAAAATCCAGAGTTGGTTTCATTCATCGAAGTGGTTATTTTCAGTTTATAAATTTGTGCCTTAAAATTTTGGTAAACTTCTATAGTGAGGTATAAATATAGGTTCCATTAGAATTCCCAGTAGATCTCTTAGAATTACTTCTTATGCAACTACCACCAGATCCCCTTTTCTACCACAGTTACCTGTAGTCCCCTAAGTACTGAGACCAAAGCACAATAGTCAATGTTTTTATTGAATTTCAGTATTCATAAATAAATTGAAAATAGTGAGAGCTGGATAAATGTTTAAGTCACAAAAAATGTTGACAGCATAGAAACTGCTTGTTATACTGAAATATTAATGAAAGTTTTCAAATAGAAAAGTTAAAGTCCTTCATTTGTAAAATCCAACTAATATTTTCTTGATTTTTGATCAGAAACATTCTTTTTTCTAACCCTGTCCTAGTCTTTCTTGAGGTATAAAATAGAGCAAACCATTTCCAGGTTTTGCTTACAATAAAATGTACTCAAGTAAATGAGTGGAGATGTACTTTTTTGAATGTTTTGATTAAATAAATTTTAAGCATTTAGAACATTCTGATCTTTCCCCTTTTTCATATAGCCATATACTCATGTACACCAAGGCAACATTGTACACATAGGCCTAACATTGATAAAAACTAAATAATCTTGACATTTTTGTTTTTTTAGAAACATGAAAAGTCCATATGACTACATTAAATACTCAAAAGTTATTTGAAAAATGATTCTGCCTAGGCATATGTATGCAGATAGCATCAATACTACCTAGATTAGCATGTTTGTACCTTTTAAAAAAATAAAATACACATTTACTAGTAACTCCTATGTAAAAAATATATGAATGCATATATAGATAATTCTTGATTTTTTTGACTTTACAATGGGGCAAAAAGCAAAACACATTAAGTTTTCCCTGGCAGTATGCAATATGATACTTTCATGATACAAGGCAGCAGCCAGTCACAGCTCCCAATCAGCCACACAATCGTGAGGGCAAACAACTGATGCTCTCTCTACAGTGAACTGTGACCTACGATGTTTAGTAGGGTAGGTCTATTAAGTGCATTTCAGTTTACAATATTTTCAGTTTATGATGGATTTATCAGGATGTAACCCCATCATACGCCAAGGAGCTTCTGTACATATGTGTATAGATGTGCATATATATATATACATATATGTGTGTGTGTATATATATATACATATTAAGGACATATACACATGCACACACATACCTGTATCAAAGTGTTGATAAATTGAGATGCACAGGGTTATGACATAAGAAAAATATATTGAATTCCTTTAAAAAGATGCTTTAATATTTAAAAATTGTGATTAGATTTTGTAAAGAAAAACATTTCTGGACTCCTTGGATTCACTTATTGCATAAAGTGAAATACCAGCTAGTATAAGAAAACTGGCAAGCCTTTCTTGAAGACAAGATGGGTTTTTAAGATGTTCAAACTTGATTGAATCCAAGTAAATAAGTTAGCTAGTGTATTGTGAATTTTTGACTTTTTTGTTGGCAGGACTTGAGGGGTTTCAAAACTATTGTATGCATTTTGGTTCGCTATATTTTTGGAGAATTAGAGAATACTTTTATCAGTTTTCAAACTTACCAGCATTTAAAACATTATCAAGAATCTAAACATGCTGAATCTTACAAGCATTCCTGAAAGGTGCATTAAAAAGACCAACAGCATTTTTGCACTCACTAAAAGCACATAAAATCACACCAAGGAAGTTTAGTTTTGTTTTAGAATTTAAATTAATTTTCTATTTTTCAAGGGCACACATAAAGATAAGGCCTTCCCCACCATGTACCCTTCCCTCCCATTTTCCCTCCCACATCCCACACACAAGGGCATACCTCCCCCCCACTCCCCAACACACAGAAAAACCACCTATACTCCAGGGCAGCAGATTTTCTGGGTTTGCTACCTTTTCTTCATGCACACAGTAGGGCAGATTTCATTTTCTCAAATATTTGGAGGCAAATACCTCCTTTCTCTGCTAAACAGGTAAGGTACAGAATTAAATCACTTGGAATGGATATTTTAGACATTACCTAAAAACTACAAAATGAGCTGCTTTCAGGGATTGAAGAGGATCAAACACCCTTCACTGATTTCTGAGTCCCACTCCAGATGAGATCAGCAATTGGGATCCCATTGTCAACTACCATATGCTTTTATAGAGTCAATGTCCATGACATGCATTGGAATTTTCTTGGCCCTGGCCTAATAATTGTTTTCAAATTTATTCCATACATCCATAATGCAGAGATCAACCACTGTTATATTTTTGAGAAATCTCGACAAAGGACTTCTCTATGAGATTTTCCTGAAAACAGGGTTTCCCCATATTGCCATAAAATAAGGTTACTCTAGGGCCTGTAACTATGTGGACAATACCCGTTTTGATTGGGCAATATAAATCTTGAGTTTAAATCAGGACTGAAAACATAGTCAACATACATTAGCAGCTATTAATGCCCAGAACAAACGAGTGGGTTTACATATTAATTTCTTGAAAGAGAAAACTAAGCCAAAAAAAGGTCAGCAAATAAAAATTTTAAAAAAAGGTTAGGATGTTTTCCACTGTGTGAAAAATTCAAGTAAAACATTCAGACATATTTACATATAGATGTTATTTTCTGAAACACTATCAGATACATTCAACAAAAATATTTTCCCACTTTCAATAAATGCTTCTTATGTAAATGTGTACCTGCATTCAAACAGGTTAAAAATTAGAGAACAGAAAAGTAAAGTATAAATACTATTTGTACACTGCATTTATTAGCCACTAGGATAATGGGCATTGTCCACATTATCTACTGTGTAGAAGGAATTTGTTGAAGACTGGTGCTAAAGAATAAGCAATGAAGTATTTTATAATATTGTTTAAAGTCTATTACACTGAAATTATTTGGGCCATTTTACAAAAGTTTCTAGTATAAACTGAAGTTCTACAACTATGTGCTCTTTCAGAAGGCAGTCTGTCAGAATGCAGATGTATCTGATCTTGCATATGATGATTACAAAGGAAATAACTGGATGCAAATCTAACTTCATTCTAGGTTGAGATAAAGAATTGATTAAAAAAGAGGGCTCTACCTTGAATCAAATTAGTACACTCACTGAGAAACCTAACATATTATGCTATCCTTTTAGGGTCTGACTACTTTCCTTCATGAAAACTGAAACAAGGAGGCAGTAAGAAAACAGAAAAAGACTTAGCAGTAACTCTTATCAGAGAAGCTTCAGACATGTTGGCTAATGCCTGTGCTTTGTGAGGTGGTAATTAGATAATAGAAGGAACTATAGGAGCAAGAACTACTGATGACTAATTGGTTTAAATGCCCTGTCCCTCAACCTCTGAACATTCCACATTTCTGTATCAACTATAAAATGTCATTAAGATTAGCATTTTCCTCACCGGCAAAAAACTGAGTTTGACAGATTTTAACTGATAACTGTTATCAACTTCTAAGGAAGATATTAAATTATACCTGGGCCTTCCTTAGCTTTCTTAAAAACCATAGTCTTTGAGGCTACTTCACTATTAACAACAACAACAAAACTTCTAGGGAATTCTATGGGACATGGTTGTGACAATGTATCACCATAAAGAAAATGATAGTGTGAAATATTACTAACAAAATCTCAAGTCTACAATTTTACTAAAAAAGAGAAATATATAAAAATCCTAATTTGTCACATCTAGTAAACCAATTCCTTATTTTAAAGTTGATAATTAAATGGAAATAAAGCATTATCCTGCCTTACCTGTAAGAACTGTATTTAAGGATGACCAAATGCTCCAAGTTGAGGGAAAACTATAATTTACATAGATTAACCAACTAATAAATGCAGAAGAAATGAGAGAACTACAAAAAAATTCACAAATGTAATACAATTATTGATTTAGGCAAGGACTATCCCCTGATGTTACAATTTCTGAATCAGTTGTTAGTGGAGAACTAGATATTGTTTAATGCAAAAGAAACCATATGGATAACCCTGTTGTCACAAAGGGGAAAACCAATAGGAGGACCGGACTGTCATGCTGATCCAGAGATCCCCTACTGTTAGTGGTAGATGAACTAGAAGTTATGTTTTCTGATGTGATGCAAAATGAAGTATGGATCTTATCTACAATATATCTCTCATATCTATGTTTAACTCAAATCCATGAACCTTTAGGTGAAACTTTCAGACTGTAGGTAGTATAGAGAATAGAGAAACAAACTAACATTGTGGGAAAAAAAACTAGACAAACTTATAAGACAGAATTTTTTGTGTGTGTGTGTGGTGTTGGGATTGGACCCAGGAGCACTTTACTAGTGAGCTACATCCTTGTTCTTGTTTCTTATTTTAAGACAGGGTCTTATTAAATTATTGAGGCTGGTCTCAAACTCAAGATCCTTCTGGCTCAACTTCCCACCTTGCAGAATTACAAGCGTGTGCCATCAAACCTGGCCACAAGATGGAATTATATAAGACAACTTTTCCCCAGTCTTTTTAACAAGTAAATATAATGAAAAAAGGAACCATGCTAGGTTAAAATAAGATTTAAGGGATATGACCAGGTACAATATAAAAATCACAGAATGAATACCAGTTTAGACAAATCAACTGCAAATTTGGGGACAGCCAGGAAACTGGAATATGGTCTGAGGTTAAAAAATGTTCTGGAATAGAATGTGGAGATTGCTGACAAAAAAAAAAAAAAGAAAAGACTACAAAACACTAGGCAGATATGATCTTGTTTTGTTAAAAATGTGAATATATATGCATAGAAAAAATCCAGAAGGATATGTATGCATTGAGCCGTCAATAGTGGTCATCCCTGAGTGGTGGTAATACAATATTTTTATTTTCCTATTTTGCTTATCTATTTTTTTTTCAAAATGTCCACAATGCACTTCTATCTCTTCTGTAATGTTAAAAGGTTATCTTAAAACAAGAACTTCTAGACAATTATAGATTTCCTTTTTTGGATAGGTAACTGATTATAGACAATCTGTAGCCAAACAACTACAAAACCTAGGTACCACTGCCCATCTAGTGACAGTATATCCTATTTGTAGCTACAGTATTTTAAATACTTTAAAATAAATTTTTAAGTGCTTGGCTTGCAGGGATAATACTAAAAACTATAATAGAAATATCACTGCACAAAAAGCACATTGCAAGAGTATTCAATTTAAAAAACACACACAAGTAGATACATCATGCTACACGTCATTCACCCTCCAAATCAAGCCATAACTACTAGTATTACTCTTAGGGAAAAAAAAAATCTAGGTTCTAGTATTTCAAAGTACAAAGTAGGAATTTCTCAAGAGAGGCATCCATCCCAGGCCGAGGTCCTCGTCTATGCTTCAGGTGTGGTTGGAGTGGCATTGGGCTCCAAGTCCTCCTGGGGAGGGGGAGCTGAGGCTTCTTGTTCAGCAAGTGCCTCTCGGACTTGGCTGCCCAGAACTGCATCATGGATGCTATAGAATAGCAGCTCCTTTAAGGCAGGATTTTCAAAAAATCTATTTCGAGTGAGATCATTCACAACTTGTGCTATAAAAAGAACAGAAAATTATTCCATGAATGCTATATTACGTCTCACTCCAATCCCTGTGTTCATCACATCACACCTCCAGGCCCAGGAAACCTTTTTATTTCTTCTTGTGTAATCATCCAGGATTTCTCTATGCAAATATAAATAAATAGAAATATATATTCTCATTTTCTCCCTTTTATTACGTAAAAGGTATACACTATATTATTCTTGCCTATTTTTTATTTTTTATTTTTTTCCTACCACTACATTCTGTTCTAATGTATAGATATACCCCAGTTTATTTAACTGGTCCCTTTTGTTTTTTGAGTTTCTTTTCCATTCTCTTGTTTTTATAGACAACCTTGTGATGAACAACTATGTAGATGTGCCATTTTGAATGCGTGCAGCATGGGTTTGCTTCATTAAAAGGCAAATACCTCTGTATTTTCAATAGATAATGCTGGTCTGCCCTCCAAAGGGGCTGTTTTGCACTTAACACCAGTTACATGCCTATTTTTCTACCAGATTCCTATGAAGCAAGTGGTCACATTTTTCTTTTTCTTTTTGTCAACCTGACAGGTGAAAAATTATGTGTTTAGGCAGATTTAATTTTCAAGTACTGTTTAACCAAAATATAATATAAATAAAAATAGCAGGCAAAGTATTCCAAAACTATTGGATGGAAGGCAACCAGAATGATTTTATAAAATGTTTATGGCAGCCACTGATAATAAGCAATGGTTTATCAGCTCCTTCCCTCCAACACCTGTTCAGAGAGATGAATGCCTGTAAGTGGCTAATTTCAAAGCTGGCTTTACAGTGACTTTTGAGAAGAATGATTTTCATTTTTATAAAAAAATTAAAGTACAGAAAATAATTTTAAAGGCAGTTCTTAAAGAAAACTAAAATGTTAAGACATTCCTAAAGATATACTCACCACTGCATCCTGCTAAATATACATAAATACCGACGTCTCCATATTCTTTTACAATCTGTAATAATGTTGAAATAAAGATTAGTTTCTCTTGACTCTATGCCAGATGCAAGTCATTTTCTACCAATACATATTTAAGAGATATGAGTCTAATTCACTCATTGAGCTACCTTTAGCTTTAATATTTATGCCTTATTGAGCTAATCACTTAAAAGTAATTCTGTACTTCTTTTGCTTTGCATATAGTGATAATGAGGGGTATCAAAAATATTGTTTTACTTTGGTGTAATAAATGTATTATGGTAATGATTTTTTAGAAAGAATCTTCTTATAGACAAATACTGAAATATTTACAGATGAAGTGATAACTCAGTCGTACTTCAAAACAAGAGAACAGAAAATGGGTATCTGGTATAAATGAGATCAGATTGGTCATAAGTTGTAACCATTAAAGCTGAGTGATAGGTACATGGGATTCATTTTATTCATTTATTTATATGCAGTGCTGAGAATTGAACCCAGTGCCTCACACATGCTAGGCAAGAGCTCTACACTGAGCTACAACCCAGCCCCACATGGGATTCATTATACTTTTTTTTTTTTTTTTTTTTTGTATTGAGGATTGAACTCAGGGGCACTTAACCACTGAGCCACATTCCCAGTCCTTATTTTGTATTTTATTTAGAGACAGGGTCTCACTGAGTTGCATAGTACCTGTTGCCGAGGCTGGCTTTGAACTTGTGATCCTCCTGACTCAGCCTCCTGAACTGCTGGGATCACAGGCTTGTGCCACCATGCCCAGCTTTTACTTTTGTATGTTTAATTTACTTTCCATAATCAGTTGAAAAAAAAACAACAACAACAAATTTTAAGAGTTTTAAGAGCTGAAAGGACTCTCATCTATTTTCTGATGTGACTGATGGAGACCCTGGACATGGAGAAATTACTTGGTTAAGGTGATGCTCACCCCCGCCAGGGTTTTCACTCCCACAGAATCGATAAAATTGACTTGAGTAAAATCCAGGATGATGGTGTGAATATTATCCCCTGGGGGCATAAACCTCTGCAGTTCTTCAGGAAATGTGTTTTTGATGACTATCGGGGGATATTTGACTTCATCATCCTCTTCTTCAGGCTTAGTTCCATCCTCTCCATCTACTTCTGCATCCTATGTCAAAAATGAAACCAACCCAGAATTATATGAACATTTTTGGTTGTTAGAAAGATTTATAATGGAAAATAAGCCCTTAATTCTCAACTCACAGATTATATAAGATCCCTTCTAAAATATTTGTCATTCCAGCCTTGAAATATGACAAAAAGAATATGTGTATAATACTTAGGGTTAGTTCAGTTTCTTTTCATCTCTTTCTCCTTTTTAAAATAACTTTATTTTGTTTATTTATTTTTTCATGTGGTTCTGAGGATCAAACCCAGTGCCTCACAAATGCTAGGTGAGTATTCTACCACTGAGCCACAACACCAGCCCTCTTCTTTTTTATTGGTTCACTAAAATCTATACTCCTTAGTCCTCTTCTCCATTTTCCCCTCACTTCTAAAGTAGTTCCATTAACTTCAGCATGACAGGTCACAAGTTACCATAAGTCTGAATAGCAAAAGCCTTTGAGCTTTTTACTATCAGCTGAATAAGTCTGTGACAAAGTATGAATGGTAAAATTTACCAAGGTACTGTGTGATTTTTAACCTTGAAAACAACATTTTCACTCTTTATTACAGACATATCTTCAAACTGACCTTATTACATACTGAGATACTTAGATTATTTCTAAGTTTTTCTATTTTAGTGACTTTATGCTGTGTATAGACGTTAACCACAGGTAAAGATGGAGGTCACTGTGGACCAAGAGAAATGGGAAAAGAACACTCACCGCCTTGACCATAATTGCGTTGGCCATGTTTGCATTTCCGACTTCCTTAGCATACTTCCTCATGGCCTTTCTCCTGGCTCCCATTATGACTGCTGGGTTCACTCCAGTCTTTACAGAAGAGCAACATATAGAAATCACTTTTAGGCTCCCAGAGACATACCACATATTATCCATCTTCCAATCTCCCCCATTTAACCCATTTCTGTGCTTGATGACCACCCCAAATTCTTATTCTACTTTTCCCTCAGATGTCCTGAGCTACTCCCTAAGAAAACATTAGTAGCCTTTCTTAGTCTTTATTCAAGATAACTAGAAGCTTTGTGTGTTGATGGCCAGTGTAGGGTTGATTTTCACTCATACCAAAGGAATTCACCTGATCCCCAAAGTAGGAAATCTAAGACTTCTATTTTCACTTTCTTTTCTTAAATGTTTTTCAAAAACAGAACATATGCATATGATAAGAGACAAGGAATGGTAGTAATGGTTGTACAACATGAGAAAGTATTTAATGTCACCCACTGGATCGTACACTTTAAAATACTTAGATTTTATCTTATGTATATTTTACCACAGTTTAAAAGAGAGGGGAGATAAAGGGGAAAATAGTCTAATAGTGTATACTGAGACATTTAAGTGACCCTCCCATTCCTGCCAATTCACCCATCCCCTCCCCAGAAAGGATCACTCTGAATCTCATGGGACTCACCTTTCTTTTTAATGCGTTGCTATATAAGTCACTATTTGCATAGTAAATGGGGGCATTTATTTGGAATATTTTAATTCCAGGAATTTCTTTCACCTGAGAAATAAAATATTAGTGAATTTAACACTTTGATATATTTCATAATCAAAACTGCAAGTTTCTGCCTCCTTCAATGTAAAAATGAATACAGAAGCTGGGAATGGCCCTCTTAGTGTGTTGGGATAAAATGATGTCACTATATCTACTCAGGCTTTGTAAGGAAGAATCTTGAGAATAAAAAGTTTTTTAAAAATATATTTATTATTGCATTATAGTTACACATAATAGTGGGGTTCATTTTGACACATCCATAAATGCATATAATTTGCTCCCTTTCAATCCTTGGTACTTCCCTTTCCTTCTCTTTCTTTTATGTATAACTATAATGCACCAATTTAAAAAAACAATAAATAAATGGAAGAAAAAATTTTTTGAGCCAGTCTCTATGTTGCCCAGGCTAGTCTTGAACTCCTGGGCTCAAGTGAGCCCCTGCCTTAGCCTCCTGAGTATCTGAGACCACAGGCACATGCTTCCAAACCTATCTTGAAAGTCTCTAAAAATGTACATATTCCCATTTCTCTAACAATCTGTCTTTGTTTCATTTTTACCATTAAACACAAAGAAGATGGAAAAGATGGAACTGATAATCATTCAAAAAAAGAGAAAAGAAAGTGGATAGGAGGGGAGCTGCAGTAAGATGGGGAGAAGTAGGCTAACAAAGCAAACAGAGGTTGGCACTGGTGTGACCCACAGACTGCAGGAAGGAGCCAGTGTGGACACAGGCAACACAGAGGGACCTTTTTACTGAAAAGCCTAGATGCAGAAGGAGGAAGTCTACATGCAGTTTGGAAACAAGTAATTCACCACATAATTTTTTGGAATGAGGAAAAAGATAGCAACCCTAACACCAGGATCATTTCTTAATACTATAAAGTAAGTCTGAGAATTTCTTCCCAAGCAGAAGACAAAACTAATTTTAAAAGATTTTTTTTAAACGTTTTTGAGGTTGCACTGAAGAAAAGAACCTTTGTAATAAAGGGAACTCGAAGCCATAGTTTTACCCATTAAAAGTGAAATGGAAGAATTTTAGAGCCCCAGATTTTACAGTTAAAATTAGTATTGTAACATCAGTTTAAATCTATCAAGAGAAAGTCATGCTAGATGCAATGGCACATTCCTATAATCCCAGCAGCTCTGGAGGCTGAGGCAGGAGGATTGTGAGTTCAAAGCCAGCCTCAGAAATGGTGAGGTACTTTGCAACTCAGTGAGACCCTGTCTCTAAATAAAATACAAAATAGGACTGGGGATGTGGCTCAGTGGTCAAGTGCCCCTGAGTTCAATCCCTGGTACCAGGAAAATAAATAAATAAAAGAAAGTCATGCATTTATATACCATTCTCCCACTTTCAGTATTTTGTACATATATACTTTAATTCCAGCAATATATATTTAGCTTCATTAAAAATGAGGAAATATAAATGTTAGGAAGTTGAGTCATTAATGCACAGTATAAACTATAAAACTGAATCCTGACAGTAAATTAAAGCTCGTGATTTTCACTTTGACCACGATGCCTCCCTCCCTTTCATCCCTGGTTTTTGTTTTGGGCAAATATACCACTTAGCCAGTTACATAACACTCTTATAATCTTTTAAAATATTTTTAAAAAAAGGTCCTACCTCCTCATATGCATCTATGTCGATATACACATCAGTGTCAGGAAGCTGTCCCAGGACTTTGTAGCTTGGACTGGAGATGGAGAGCATGTTAAAGTCTACTGTTGTGCCGAGGGGCAGTGTGTACTTAGACATGACAGCCTGATTTGCTAGTGCATTCAGGAATACATGATCCATACACAGTGCCTTGTGAAAGGGCTCCTTACGTATCACATTCCTAGTGACATCACATTGAAGTGATATTGCAGGTATACAGGGGGAAGTCAAGGTCCCCTGGTGGGGGGAGAACTGGGCATCAAAGGATGAGGAGTTCAAGAGGCAGAGGAGGAATGGGACTTCTGATCACCTGGGGTACCCTGACACCCCATTACTGTAAGTCTAAATCCTACTGCTTCTAACAAAGGCCAAGTCCTGACTACATCCCTACTGAAACCAGGAGCAAAGAAGTCTCTTTCCATAAACTCCTCTGGGATTTCATTTGGGCATCTCTTATGTTTATTGTCACACCATACATTGCTTATATCTACTGAAGCACATAAAACTGTACATTCTAATTTTCAGAAGAAAGATTACAAAATGGTGATTAAGAGTCAGCTTCTGGACTCACAAAAATACATATTGAAGTCATGATCCCACCACATACTGTGATCTTGGTAAGTTAATCCAATCACTCTAGGACTCTGTCTATGGCTATGAAATTAGAGTACTAATAGTCATTGGGTTGTAAGGATAAAATGACATAAAACATTGATTTGCACAGTGCTCCATTACTTCATTGTCATCATTAACATTATCACTTATATTATAGTCTGTCATCCTTAGGAGAATACAACCTTTTTCAAGGGCAGGACCATGTCTAATTTTTGCAATATCCTGAAAGGCTACTATGTCCCTGGGAACATAGTAGACCCTCAACAAATAGCTACTCAATGAAGATTATAGTTATTTTAATACATTTTATAACACAGACTAAACTTTAAGCTCTTTGGGGGCAGAAATAAACCCTCACATATAACACACATAGTACTAGCATGGAAGAGGCCATCAGAGTTATTTGCTGAATGATCAAAATAATTTGGTTGTCTCATGACTCTGTGTGCTCTGAAGGAAACTTGAGTGTTTGGAACAAGCCAGTGCATCTCTAGCCATCTCCTGGAAGAATTCCCTAATTACAGAACTGAGACTAGCTGAGTCACCACATATCCTAAGAGCTGGTCCCAAACTCCACCCTACAAAACCCCAGCAAGACCCAACAACAAAGAACACACACATTCAAACTTAATTATCAGAGGGAGAAAGAGAATTATAACACTTAAAAAAAAACTTCCCCAATCTTAAAATTTATAGGAAACCATAAAATTCAATTTCATTAAAGAAAACAACAACAACATACTCTCAAATTCTAGACTAGCTTGTTAAAGGACAGATTTTTAAAAAAAATTTTTGGTGCTGGGAAGTGAAACCAGGGTCTTGTGCATACTAAGCAAACACTCTACCACTGAGCTATGCCCTCAACTCCCTAGATGTTTTTAACAATGATGATGACCAAAGTTCTGGGATGAAGGATTCCTATATGTACTAATATTTTTTTATAAAAATGGGGAAAACTTCTTTTAGATAAAAATGGGCAACAGTGTTATTATATGGGATTCCTCCCTCCCTTCCTGTGCTCGTGATGGATGGACCTCAAACATGCTAACCCCACTTCCACCCATTCAAATTCAGACTGTACTTTAAGTCAGCATGGGAATCTCAGCCAGGACATTCACCCCCCATTTTAGTCTGGGCACTTGCCTCTGGGTTCTGTAAATCACAGTCAGCAGAGCAATGATCACAGCAGTGATCAATCCATAGTCCAATCCCAGGAACAAGGAGGACACGAACGTGGTGAGCCAGATGGTCTAAATAGAAGTCAGAAAGCTATTTGGAGAATCATATTAAAAATTCCAAGAACTAAACACCCACAAGTTTTGTTCATCTTGCCTACGTGTGTACTGCAAATAACTAACTGGATTAACATCTTTCTCACATAGTTGCTGCTGTAACCTATTAATCTAATTATCACCTTTACTTACCAGCTCTATCTTGCTGGTTCTCCAGAAAAAGGGGAGATCTGAGAACTGCATAAACATCCCCTTCAGGTTGACGATCACAATGGCCGACAGCACAGCCTGAAACACAACACATCTACCCATGCCTCTCTTCTTGTGTCCACAGGGCCCTGTTGCTGGGTCTTCACAGTCTACCTGCTGCCCTTCCCACATCTTCTCCCCACTGACTTCCTAGGTTGAGCTGATGATACCTTTGGAGGCATGGATGCCTGGATACTGGGCACATAGTTAACTAGAATGTACTTGGGAAACCAGGTTTATATCCTAGTAGCAAACCTGCATGGTGGTCAAGAGGTTCAGAATTAAACAAGATACTCAAGGATTTCATCCATGGTCTTCCTAAGATTTTTTTTTTATGTTGTTTCTGAACTCTCCTAGATTAAATACATCAACAAATAAATTTCTTACAAGTATAGGTCACCTCATATTTTTAATGAAAGTATAAAGTCATAGAAGGTCAAAGAGCACAGGAACCTTGGAGATTACCCAGTTCAAACCCCACTTTGCAGATAAGGGAACTGAGACCAAGAGGAGTTCAGATGGCTTTCTCAAGGTCCCAGTGACACTTGATTATGGAGCAGGATCTTGATCCTAGGCATGGCTCTTTCTCGTTCCTTTCTGCTAGGATTATAGTAAAAATCCCTAAGGCAGCCATAAAAACAGAGAGAAATAAAATAGTAAAATATCTACACATGGAAATACCTCACATTAAGTCCACACTACACACCTGGGGTAATGATTCAAAGAGGAATCCAGTGGCTAATATGACCAGCAGAATCATTAATGAGGCCAAACAACCTGCAAGCTGAAAATTAGAGAAGACACAGGAAGGGACTTTTAGGAAACTAGAGTAAGAGGCAGAGGGTGGGTTGGTCTAATTCTTTTACATCACTATGGGAAAATCAAGAAAATCTACATTCCAATAAGTCATACAAACCATTATATAACCATATCCTGCTCCCTCTTTGAAGTTTTGATTCTTCCTATGGCTTTTAAATATTCTGACTTAAAAGCCCTTGTAAGAAGTGGAAGAAAGATATCTGGTACCAACCTAAGACTGACCAGGGCCAGAAGAGTCCAAACAAGTGGTTCTACCCAATACAGTAGTCACTAGATACATGTGACTATATAAGTTTTTTAAGCTAAAATCAAATAAACATTTAAAAATCAGGTCTCAGTTCCACTATTTATATTTCAAGTTGCTAGGGGCTGTCATATGGATGGTGCAAATATTGTACATTTTCATTACTGGAGAAAGTTCTTTTGGATGGTGCTGGCATCCTGCCCATACTCAGTCTCAGACTTTCTTTTTCTTTTTTCTTTTGGTACTGGAGATTAAATTTAGGGGCACTTTGACCACTGAGCTACATCCCCAGCCCTATTTTTGTATTTTATTTAGAGACAGGGTCTCACTGAGTTGCAAAGCACCTCGCCATTGCTGCGGCTGACTTTGAACTCACGATCCTCCTGAGTCAGTCTCCCAAGCTGCTGGGAGAGTGCGCTACCATGCCTGGCCTCAGTCTCAGGCTTTCATAACAACATTCCATGTCTGAACTTTGAGGTTTACTGGTAGCAAAGGGAGCACTATATAACTTTCCAATTTAACTGGAAAATATGCCTCTTTTTTATAGATTCAGTTTTTGTGATTTGCTTCAACCAGTCATTGTCTTTCTCTGATTCACTACATAGCCCACTGGACCATGGATTTGCAGGCAGAGTAGCTTTGTTTGGGTTCAGAATTTAATCAAGAGATCAACATTTAATTTCCACTCCAAACATGAGTTCTTAGAGGCCTGTTGTATACCCACCTGTGTCTTCCCTCCGGTTCCCTCCTGAACAAGGCTTCGAGACAAGGAGCACGAGATAGAAAAGGTCTGGAAGAGTGAGCCAATGGAATTGCACAGTCCCAGGGCAATGAGTTCCTTTTCCACATGGCAGCAAAAACACAAAGGAGAAGGTCATTTTTTTTCAGCTGGGGGGAAACCTGTTAGCTCATTTAACAAACATTCAGAAGTACAGCCTGTCTTTTCGTTCTTTCTTTTTCTTAATATTTATTTTTTAGGTGTAGATGGATACAACACAATTCCTTTATTTTTATTTGGTGCTGAGGATTGAACCTGGGTCCCGCCCGTGCTAGGGGAATGCTCTACCACTTAGCCACAATCCCAGCCCCATTCATTCTTTCTTTAGATAAAATAATTTGTTGAGTTCACAATAGGAATTGTGGCATATTTTACAATGGAATAAAAATACTTTGGTTATTATAATTTCTGTGATCCTCACCCTAATACACCCTATATATGAATAATACTATAAGAGAAAAGAAAAGAAAATCACAGTAAAAAGGAGAAAATACATTTGTTAAGAGAAAGTTCTTGATGTATGACTACTGGCATCATTTTGATACCTAGGCTATTTCTCATCAACAAGTACATGCCAGTGTCTTCCCAGGACCAGAGAGTTCTGCTCTTGGGCTACTCTGGCAATTTCTAGTTTGATGAATGCATCTCATATGACTGTGGGCAACTGGTCTTCCCTTAGAAATATACAGGGTGCTAAAAAAAGACACTGTTAGGCCAAGATAGTTCATGGTGTTTGGATTACCTACCTCATAAGTAGCTATGTTTAAAAAAAAGGCATCAGAGAGAATACTATGGAGTTCAGATGATTAATCATATGCTAAAGTTCAATGAACAAATATAAACCTTTCTGTGGAGCAAAAATGGTTCTGGAGATGTGTTTTATTCCCAGGCTGTGGGCTTTAAGCAGAGGGATAAATTGGAGTATGGCAAATCACAAATTTCGTGTCACCTTTCTAGCTGAACCCCTGAGGGCTCTCTACTTCAATGTTTGGATATGTAATGCTCATGAATAGTAAAAGAAATCATAGCATTGAATCAATACATGCTTCAAATACATCCATTAACAAAATAAAGGTTTTTCTACCAAGATAAAAATCTAGTTCATTTGCCTTCCATGACAGAGCGTAGTGAATGAATGTACCACTATGAAATATCTGCAGGAAACTAACAATCTTTACCTGATTGCCATCGACCTGGTAGCCATGTTTATTTGCCAAGGTCTTGGCCATTGAGATGGTCACTGAAAATCCAACAATGGCTATGGCAATGGCATCCACATACACGAGGTGGAAGAGGCTGGTGTCTGGATTGGCTGGAGGTAGTAGCCTGAAAAGTTAAGCTGATTTTAACTCAAGTGCTTTGACCACCAGGAAACCACTGGGAAACAGCACGCAACTCTCGGGGAGCATTAGAGAGGGGCAGAGTCTACAATGAGGTCACCAAGGTTTGGGTAGTTGTTTGCTCTGGGTTAGCAAAAATGAGGGCCCTCCTTGACAGAGAGAGGTTCTTTCCAAGCCCAAACTATACAGCGCAGGCATACTACCTGGATGGATTATCAGCAGAGATCAGATGCTGTTTTATTTATAAAGGAGTAACCTCATACGGCATAGCGCCCTGTTGGTAGGTGTAAATAAGACACAGAAACAGGAAGAAGAGAGGGTCAGCAAAGTGCTCAGATGCCACAAGACATTTAAACCAGTCTTGGGGTGGGGAGGATGTTGGAGGGACAAGGACTACGAAGAATTACTGTCGTAACATGATTCACTTCTCTCACTGTTATACAAGGTAAGGACTCTAAGTCTGTTAACTCTTCTCATGTCATTGTCCCTTCGGTTCTAACATGGGAAAGGAGCAGTGGCCAATTATACTCCTTGAGTCTCACCTACGAATCCTGGGAATCTGGAGGAGCCCAAAGTGTGATTCCTGCCTCCACAAAGGGGAACCTGACTTTTGTCCATTCATGTAGTTGGGGACGTTTGAAACAAAACAGAGATTCCCTAAAGTGTTATAGGGGAAAAGGCAACAGGGATTTTCTAAGGCATCCTGCTTCAAATCAAGGCATTTTGCTAAATAACAATCTCTTAATAGAGACACAATAATATCATTATTACAAAACAAAATTATTATTCATATAATAATATCATTATTACAAAATTATTATTGTTAAGTGCTCCCTTTGTGTCAGGTTCTGTGCTTTTTTTTTTTTCCCCAATAGCCCTGTGAACAAGGCATCATTATAATCTCGATTTTACACAGGTGGGAAAATGAGGTTAATTAAGCAACTTGTCCAAGACTGAACAGTTCTACTAGGTACAACAAAACCAGGAAGAGCCTGCCTCTCTATTTCTCTCACCATGTTATGCACAGTGACAGAAGGAACACTTCAAATTCTTGGGTAAAAAAGGGAAGGGAGGAAGGTAAAGGAAACTAGTATCTGTTAAGGCTAGATCACACACTATATACTTGATATAAGCCATCTCACTTATCCTCACGACAGTCCTGTTTGAGAGCTACCACTATCAGCCTAATTAATAGGTTAAAAAAGGGATGTTTTTAGATGCTAAGTGATTTCCCCAAGATGGATCAGAAAATTAAATGCAGGGGGTTTGGGTAAATTAGTAAATTAATTTACTCACAGGGAAGGCCTAACACCAGGGTTGGACCTGAGGAGTAAAAATGTAAGAAATGGATGTATTTTGGAATGAGTTCAGGAAAGTAAACCCCAAGTAGGTACATTACCATGACTGGGAACTTAGTAGTCAGTTGCCACTTTCTGGGCCCGAAAATGTGTTTAGCTTAGGAATATGTACAGATAAGGGTAACAGTTTACTTGCAAACACAGCCACCAACCATTCCTCTCATTCTGGTAAATGCGGACAGCTTCTCTCATCTAGATGTGAAATCTATTTGCCCTCTTTCTGAACCTAAGTTGACCTTCTGATTTGCTTTGAGCAACAGAATGTGGTGGAAGTGATGTCCTATGAATGTCTAAAGTGGCCTGGCAAATTCTCTATGTTTCTTTGTTGTTGCCCTGAGCACCATGTAAAGAGGTCTGGCTACCTTGCTGGGGACACCATGTGGAGAGAAGGTGCCAGTCAGCCCCCAGCTGTTCCAGCCACTCCAGCTGAGGCAACAAACATGTGAATGAAGCCCTCTTGAATCCTTCAGCATGAGTTACCCCTTCAGATACCTCCAGGTGTATGAGAGCACCCAAGGGAGACCAGAATCCTGGTGGAAGCCATCCTAGACTGAAGAATTATGAGCAAATTAATGATTGCTGTTTTAAGACACTGTTTTGGAGTGGTTTGTTATAAAGTAGCAATAAGACTCACAGATAAGAGAAACAGTATGGCTGTATGTAGACATGCAGGTAGGTGAGTATTTGTTACCTGCCTCTTTGGGGTAAAGTTTCAGAAGGACAAGGTTTCTAGGAAGCCAAGTTCCAGAATGGTAAAATGTTTTTGTTTGTTTGTGTTTCAAGTTTAGTTCTCACAAATAAAATGAAAGCAATATATTTGGATACAGTATAACAGGGAAAGGCAGACATTAATTGGAAATTATGGTGACATGTGAATTTTAATGAATCAGTATATTTTTACAAGGAAAATTTGAAGTGTAAAAATTTTGCATTTAATCAAATTATTTGTAATTAGTAAGTGAGAGTTATCTGTTGAATTGAATCAAAGGTCAGTGTTTATCAGTTACTGTGTTAGAGACCCAGGTGTGAAGTAATGGAAAGATCATACACATCTGGGTATCAAGAAGGACAATTTCTGGGTCCAGGCTGGGACTCCCCAAGTCACTAAAGCTCATTTATGTCGCTCAAATATCACATCCCTGACACTTAAAACTTCAACCCATTCCCTCCTATGGCTTACTTGCCTTCTCTTGTTTTCAAAGCGTTTCGCATTATTTGCCTATTGATCAATTGTCTATCTCCATTAGAATATAAACTCCATGAGAGCAAGGACTTTTTGCTGATGTGTCTGTTTTTCTCTTTAATTGCTGTGCTCCTGATATACAATAGGCATTCAATAAACAGATTCTCAATAAATAAGAATAAATGAACTTTTCTGTAAAATAGGGATAATAATGTATATTGTCAATAGAGTTGCTTTAATCTCAACTGAGATGGCAGATATACAAGTATTTTATAAATTATAAGTCAAAGTTGAAAAGCAGGGTATTATTGCTGTGCCATAGCTTTACTCCGAATCATTATAAGAAACATGTTCACTGCCATATTGTCATGAAGTTTAAAGGTAGAGTGCAATCTTCCTCCCTCAACACTTGTACTATGGGATGAGCTTTGGCTTAGAGAACATCTTCAGCGCCCTCTGCTTCCCAGGAGACTCAGGACTAGAGGGCAAGGCCTGATGGAATGGGAAGTTCCCTCAATGTCCAACATCTGGGCAAATGTCTGACTCTGTTAGTTAGGAAGAAAGAAGAGGGTGTTGAGAGAAAGCAAAATAGTACAAGAGATAGAAAGACAGGGATATACCTAGAGATTCAGAAAGGGTCGAAGTAAGATGAGCAGAGGTGGTAGTCATTCTTGCTTTCAGATACAGAGAAAGATTAATCAATGTTAAAAATGTAGAGTAGGTAATATAGATGAAGCACAGAAGCAAGCAGCATATGATTTGAAACTAGAAAACCCACAGTAATAGCGGACCTCAGAACTTCCAATTAGCCTGTCTTGAATGTGCAATGTGCAGACCAGGGCTACACTGGCTGTGAGCATGGTCTCCTGCCCTCTCATGGCTGCCCTAGGAGAAGCAGGGATTACCAGGCCCCCATTGAAAGGCAGGGACACTGAGGTGTTAAAAGGATAAGTGACCCACTATGAGTAAGGTCTTTTGCTCTTAATTCTTGTGTCACTCAAGGAAATGTTTTAAAAACTCTTAAGGAAAACAAAAGAAAAACCATTTCCCACAGTTAGTGGGATTGTAAAATAGTACAATTGCTATGGAAAGCAGTATGTGATTTCCTCAAGAAATAAAAAATTAAACTATCATATTATCCAGTAATTCTACTTTGGGGTTTATACCCAAAAGGATAGAAAACAGGGTCTCAAATATATATATTTATTTTTACCAGTGTTCATAGCAAGTACTATTCACAATAGCCAAGTGGTAGAAGCAACATAAATGCTCACTGATGGATGCTTGGAGAAACAAATACAGTATATATACAGTAGAATATTACTAAGCCTTAAAGAAAGAAGAAAATACTGTTATGTGCTACAACATGAATAAACCCTGAGGACATTATGCAAGTGAAAAAAAAAAGACAAACACTGTATGATTCTACTAACATGAGGTACCTATAGACCTTTTCATTGAACTAGAAAGATGAAGATGGTGGAGCTGGGAGATGGAGAAGGAGGGAGTCATTTAACAAGAAGAGAAATTCAGATGTGCAATATGGAAAAGCTCTGGAGATGTGTTTTACAATGATTTGAATATACTTAACATTATTGAATTGTCAACTTAAAAATGGTTAAGATGGTATGTTTTATTAATACACACACCCATTCCCAACCCCTAGCACCCTCAGTTATTTGGTATGCTGGAAAAGATTATTTTCCATTGCAATAGTACTTTTATAGCAGAGGTTAGAAACAATTTGATTATTCAAGTCACCCTGTTACCAAAGTCAACTATTTTCCTACCCCAGAGGAAGTGTTCCAACGACATCCACATTGTATGATTCTTTCAAGTTAAATCCAGCTGAGATGCCAGTTCCCATTACCACCTAAGACAGACACAAATACAAATGTACCTTCAGGGATGAATGTTCAAATGTCAGAAAAATAAGCTTCAAAGAATTTCTTAGCCAAGTCTAACCTAGTCTCACTTTTGATGGTCAGTTTTAAAATGAGAAGTTTTTGTTAGCTTCCAGCCATTCTAACTTCTCTCAATGACTCTACATCATGTAACACAAACAGGTTTTAAAGTTTCCTTGAGGCCTGGAATGATTTTCTTCTCACTTTGTTCTATTCCCTGCTGAGGTGTCAGGCTAGTTCAGTGCAACAGAAAGAGGACATTAAGCTTCTCAGGTGTGGACCTTACCTTGGGGCAGGTAAAAGGAGTCTCTGGCCAAGCTCTCATGAGTGGAGGGTAGTAAGATGTGTGTGGTGAGGGTGGCTCAGCATATCAGTATGAAATGAAAGAAATGAATGTTTGGATTTAGAACCCTCCTGCTGACTCTGTTTCTAGGACAGCAGCACCCCACAGTCTCCAGGGCCACAGTGCACACTCCCCAGGGTGATGGTGGATAGAAGGCCACCCTGGATGGGCAGGCCTCAGATTTACTTGAGGGATATTGCTCAACCCTTAGTGAGACACAGTGAGACGGCAGTTTGCTTCCATCTCCAGTAACTGCTGCTCATATTGCTTTCTGAAGGGGTTACCCAGGAGGGGAGGAATTAGACTATCTCTTACAATTTTAGAACCCCCTCTCTCTCTGGGACTGGACATGTAAGTCCCTGTTTCCACTTGGGAGTCCAGCAAGAGATTCTAAGCCCCTATGTATGCGAAATAAGGCAGGAAAGCCCCACTTACCGAGTGAGCAATGAAGGTTGCCTTTCCTGCCCGGGTTACTAACTAGCTCTGTCCACTTCCCAGATACCCTTTAGAGACTCCTTTGTTTTCCAGGAAAATGGTTTGCCAAAATTCTGTCATTGAAATGTCTTTCAGTCATAACTTAATCCATGCCTTTTCAACTTCTTATCAAAGCTATCCACAGAGCACACAAAATAGAAGCCATATTGGAAAGTTTGGGGATAGACTCTTTAGGATCCCCTTTGAACAAAAAGTAAAATATTTTTTTATTATAAAAACATTATTTTGAGCTTTTCATTCTATTTTATAACACATCTTTTTGTATCTGTTGGACACTGTGTAGACTTCTAATTGAAGGAAGCTCATAGTTTGAACATTGTTCATAGTATATTCATTTTGGTAAAACTGTCTTTGCAAGCTGGGTGTTCAGTGGTTGCTATGATTAAAAAAAAAATCCATGTGAACAGGAAATGAAGATGATTTTATCCAATCAGTTTCCAGGGTCTGAGGATTTGTACAGTGCTCAACAGGTGTACACATCCATGAATAAATGTAGTTATTCAAGAACATAATTTTTATTCCAATTTGTGTATAGTTTTTACAAAAAGCTAACAAGTCTGTTAGTCATAAATATGTATTAAGGTGTTTGGATCTAACTACTTCTTAAATGGAACTGTGAGGTGCTTCTTCGGCTCAGGCATGCCAGGTAGCTAAGAAAGTTTGGGAACTTTTGTTTTATACTATTTTGAAAGTGCAGACAACTTTATCTTTCTCTGATTATGAGAGCAATATATACTCATTAAAAAACAATTAGATCACAAACAATTTGAGAAAAACAAATCCTCCAAACTCCCATCACTCAGAGATAATTAAAGTTAAAATTTGTATTTATGGTCTTCATCTATATTTAAAAGTCATATATGTTTATGTTTTAATGCTTTTTCTTTCTACTTTTTGTTATCTATTTTGACAGAACTAAGAGAAAAAATATACTCTCTCTGCTCCTCTTTCATCCACTTCAAAATCCCTCACAGAAACAGGTACATGGGTTGTAGGAGTTGAATAGATCATCTCCTCGAGTGGACTTACCGCAAAGAACTCTAAAGGAATGGGTGCTGGCAGTTTCTCTTTAAATCTCTCATTAAACTCCTTTCCACCCAACAGCAAACCAAAAACCATCAGCCCGACGCCTAGGGAACACACGTTGAGGTTTTTAACATTCTGCAACACAGCAACTGTACTCTGTAACACAGTGAACACTGGAGTTTACACCAAGAAACGGCCCCTGTATTTAGTGACTCAACACATACAAGTTACCTAAAAGAGGCGATATACAGAGACAGAGGTAGAGGAGTCACCTGAGGCTGGGTGGAGGGGGAGGGAGGTGTTGTCTAATGGATGTGGAGTTTCTGTTTGGGATGATGAGAAGGTTCTGGAAATGGGTATTGGTCATGACTGCACAATACTGTAAAAAATGCACTGATGTCACTGAACTGCATACTTTAAAAAATAAAGTGGTAAATTTTATTATATATATTTTACCATTAAAAAAAAGTCTCAGATGAGCTCAGAAAGAAAGGGGAAAGGGAGGGAAGAAAGGACAGCCAGGGTTATAGCTTAGTGGCAGGGCATATGCTGAGCATTCTTTAGTTCGATTCCCAGCACTAAAAAAAAAAAAAAAAAGTTAAAGAAAAAATAGTTCCTGATTAGCTATCCTATTGTTGGACATTTCTAGTTAAAAGTTCTCAGAGCTGGAGTGTAGCTTAGTAGTAGAGAATGTGCTTAGCAAGTACAAGACCCTGGGTTTGATCCCCAGCATCACAGGAAAAAAAAAAAAATTCCTCTGGCTATAATTTCTTTGTAGCATCCACTAATTAGCTGGCATTTTGACCTAGTCATACTACTTCATAATTGTAATTCTTATTCAAGTTTCTTATAGTGTTTTGTAATATGCTGTTATCTCAATGTATTATTATAAATTTAGAAAAATAACCCTGAGGCTGAGCTGTGAGCATTAGGAAAGAATTAAAGGTTGATATCAGCAAAATACTCTGAAGGTAAACACACAGAAAAGCTTTTAGTTTAAAGAGGGAGAAACTATTGTTAGCAGATGAAAGAGAAGTTAGGTGGACTATGAGACAGGGCATGAAGTTTGGAAAGGAGCCCAAGAGAGTTAGAGAAGAAAGCCACTGGTTTATATCCCACAGCTACAGTCTGAGTACTCCAAATATAGGTCAGTTCTCAACTAAATCCAACAAAAATGACCCCCTCCAGGCCCAGGGCATGCACCCTTTCCCATCAATGCCTAGAACAAACTCAGGTATGCTTGGATTTTGTATTTTCTTTTTTCACAAGCCATTTTGAAAAGTCTCAGAGTAAGAAGTATGTTACTAGCTATTACCAGAAAAACAGTTTAACTATTTAGGGTATATTCTTATAGTTCCATTCTAATCAGTCAAGGACTCAAATTTAAACCTCAGAGTGACTTTCCTATGTCTCCCTATTCAACTTTTAGAACAATATGCACCTTTTCTTTGTAGTACTTGACATAATTTGTAATTACTTACTTATTTGCGAAATTCACAATTTACCAATTATCTTCCCCTTAGACTGTAAGTTCCAAAGGACAAGGGCTGTATCTGCTTGGTTCACTGTTTTATTTTTTTTTGGGGGGGGGTACCAGATATTGAACTCAGGGGCACTTGACCACTGAGCTACATCCCCAGCCCTATTTTGTATTTTATTTGGGACAGGGTCTCATGGAGTTGCTTAGCACTTTGCCGCTGCTGAGGCTGGCTTTGAACTTTGGATTCTCCTGCTTCAGTTTCCTGAGATACTAGGATTATAGGTATGCACCACCGCACCCAGCTTGGCTGTTTTATCTCAGTGCCTGGCAGAGAAACCTACAAAGGCTGTAGCAGCATCTCTTAAGGTTTAATATCTAGGACTTCTACTGTCAATTGGTTCTAATAATTTCCTAGTTTCCTCTTTATCCATGGGTCATTTAGAAATGTCATTATTGGCATTCAAATACATCGGGCTTTAAAAACTATATTTAGTCATTGATTTCTAGTTATATTTTACTCTGTGAAAAAATGTTGAAGTTTCAGAATTTGTAATCAGTTTTGTATAATCAGTTTCAACATGGACAGTTATTACCATTGCTCCCCATGTAATTGCAAATGATTTCTCTGAATTGTATAGAGTCTATGCATATTTTATCATATTAAACTGGTTAACTATGTTCATTAAATCTTTTATATCCTTCTTTTTTTTAGCTGCATGAGTTAGCAATTTTTGAGAGAGAGGTTTTCCCATTATGTCTTTAAATTATTTGTTAGTCTAAAAAGAACAAAATTTGTGGTTAAGAAAAAACTCTCTCTTCACCTAATTAGAGTAATCATATAGTCACCAAATAAAGACCTAACACAAAATTATCTGTGATGTAGAAAGGATCACTATCAATAAAATAGGATTTTAGGGTTTAGTTCTCTTTGTGGCACTATTCTCAGAAAGCCTCAAAATAGGGCTGGGGTTATGGCTCGGTGGTAGACCGCTTTCCTAGCATGTGTGAGGCACTGGGTTCGATTCTTAGCACCACATATAAACTAATTAAAAAAAATAAAGGTCCATTGACAACTAAAAATATTTTTTTAAAAAAGAAAGCCTCAAAATGTCTAAGTCCTTTTCCTTTTATGGAAATCCTTGAAAATAAAAAAATAATAAAAATTTAAAAAAAGAAAAAGAAACCTTGAAGATAAAAGATGAGGAAGAAAAATAAAGAAGGAAAACCAGTACCTCCAAATCAGAAGTTGCTTACTTACATACACCACTGAAAAGATGCCACTGTACCGCTTTGTTTTAACCCCAAACAGGTATTTTAACATGGACGTGAAGACATGCACAGCTGCCGCAGTGGTAAACCCCCGGACCAGAGGCTCTGTGAGGTATATGGCCACAAATCCAAACCTACAGACACCTAGGCAAAACTATGTTGTTGTTGTTGTATTTTTTTAAAAGACAAAGAAAGAAATAAATCACATGATAGGTTAGGAAATTATGATCAACAGAAACATAAAAATTCTTTCTGGAACACTTTCTGTCATTACAGACTTGCAACTGCAGCAGTTCAGTAGCTAACAAATTAATCACTGGTTATAGAGAAAACCATGGGAGACGTGGAGTGGCTTGGAGCCCCAAGGGGCAGTGGTCACAGTGCTTTCCCTGTCTACTGAACTAGGGACATGCTTAGTCAGGCATCACAGTCATTCCTTCCAAGCAGATAAGGAATGTCCTCTTCTCCTTATGAACCAATCCTACTGTTTCAAATTTATCTTGCTTTTGGAACTTCTAAAGTCCCCAACTGAAGCCTGCTTGTCACTCCTAGTTGTCAATAAGGCATGCAGTTTATAGGGTCTGAACTCTATAAACCCTGAGTTCTCGAGTTTTACTGGTTGGCCCTGCCCACCCCATAGTAAGATTATTCCACCACATAGTAAGTTTATCCTAGTAAGATTTTCCCTACTACATGGTTTCTTTTGCTTACTAGTAAGTAGCCAAGAGGGTTCAACATATACTAGATGAACAAGTCAGAGTCCAGTTCCCCGTTTTCTAGTCTCACCTGAATGATTCCTGAAAGTAAGGTCACAGACATGGCAACTTTTACTCTCAAGGCATCTCTGGCTTCTGTACCATTGGTTGCATTTACTCCTCCTGGAATGACTATATCATCTGGTACTAATCGAACAGCCACACCACCAATCATCAAGCTAATAACAGCAAAAGGACCTGAAATGATGAAACATGAATGACCATTGTCAGGGGCTTTAGGAAATTGTTCAGTGTATCAGGTGTGATGAACACATATGATCCTTATTCAGGGGGTACATGAAAACTCTCTCCAGTGCATCTGATATGATTATTGCCAGTATGTCAAGAGACACAGGTGAGGTCAATTAGTCATCCTTGGACAAAGACTGCCCTGACCTGCTGTAGCACTCTGTGCCTGGTGTGTGTGCAAACTGTGCTTCCAAATGTGACCACAACAATATCTCCCATCCCACAGGCTCTTCCAATACCTTGACAATTCCCAGCCAAGAGGTGGAATCTAGTTGCTCTCCCCTTGAAGCTGGGTGGCCTTATAACTTACTAGTAACCCATAGAATGCTGCAGCAATCACACTGTGTGTCTTTGGAAGCTAGGTGATAAAAGGTGATGCTGGTTCCCCCTGAGAGCTGTCAAACTTATGCTGGAGCCTGGGTCACCATGTAAGAAAGCTCCAACCAGCCCAGGTGGAGAACTCCTAGGACTACACAGAGGAGATGGGACGAAAGGGAGTAGACAGGAAGGAAGAAGGGAGAGAGGAGGAATTACCCAGACAACCTCTTCCCAGGTCCTGACGCAGAGGAACTGTGAGAGGTAATAAAATCATTGTTTTTCATGCTTTCTGTTTATTTATTCTTAAGTATTAAATTTATTTTTAAAACTTTTATTTTTAAAAACAGAATATAACCTGCTAAATTTTGGGAGCATTTCTCACCCCTATAATAGATATCTAAAACACTGTGGTGGTCTTAAGGACTACCACTACTTTGATGAACTTTATATACATCTGATCTTAAATACATTAAAGAGAAAACATGTACAACTCAGAGCCTAGAATATGATGAAAGTGATATACATGCATAGCCATTACAAGCTCGAAATACCACTATTAACATAAAGAAGGAAAACCAGACACAAGCAAATTGTATTAGGAAAAAAAAAACATTTACCTTATTTCACAGGTTTCAACAATTGCTCTTTTATACAAGAAACTTGTCCTTTTAAATTTTCCCAAGATAAAAAGAAAACTTTTTAATCCTAGAAATCTTGGGAGGAGTCTATTTTTAAAAGCACCTGTTGTATATTCAGAATCAAAAGTTACCACAAAGTGGATGTTCTATGACACTATTTCCTTGGCATATTGCAAAGCTTGGAAATCCAAAAAAGAAAGATTGTAGAATGTCAAGTGTAAGCTTTTACCTATGGATATATGTCTGGAGGTTCCAAGAAAACAGTACATGATAACAGGATAAAATGAAGAGTACAGGCCGAACACCGGAGGCACAGCTGCCAGCATTGCGAAGGCTAAGCCTGTGGGGTTGAGAGCCAGAGAAATGGGAGACCATTAGAAAACAAGGGATCATATGGACTTTTCTCTTGGTTCTATCTGATGAGCATCTTAATGGAAGCTGATGTGTCTTACCTGCCCACCCTTCCACCCCAATCCTGCACGAAATCCTGTACCTACGGAGTCAGGGCTGAGACAGTTTTCCTTGTCATCTCTGCTTTGCCATTAGGTGGATGTTTTCTGCTTTATTCTTTCACAAATTAGAAAAGAGCAGGGAAAAGAATCTTATTTGACTTGATGGGTGCAGTTGTAGTCTGGTGTTGGTGCACAAATGTCAGCTCTTTTTCTACTGGGCCATTATTGTGGGTTTGTGGAGATCCCTTTGATATTGGGAACCCACTGTTCCATTCCCTGGCCTATATGGTGCCCCTCCACCTGACCCTTGGATTCATCCCCTGGCTCCCTAAGATATAGTCATCCAGGTTCTTTCTGCTGGCACTTGCTCATCCTGTGGGCGGGCTTCTTGGGCAGCACCTTGAAAGGAGCCAAGCTGGGTTACCCTCCAGGGTCCCCAGTTTTTCAATGGGAAAGCTTGGTCCTTGACCCCCAGAAACTTTAGCAGTACAGGTCATATCTACTAGAAGACTCACTCTCTTCATTCTGCTGTCCCAGGGACTTCACACCATCTTTTACCTGTGACTCTTTTTTTCTTTAAAAAAAATGAACTTATTTGTTAGAGAAGCTTTAGATCCATAACAAATTGAATGGAATGCTCAGAGATTTCCCCCATTCCTACACAGGCATAGCTTCCCCCACCACCAATATCCCCCATCAGAGAGGTACACTTGTGACAAATGACAAACTTATACTGAAGCATTGTTATACCCAAAGCTTATATTAGGGTTCACTCTTGGTGTTGTACATTCTATACAAATATGTAATGACATGTATCCACCACTGTAGTATAACGCACAATGGTTTCATTGACCTAAAAATCTTCTGTGCTCTGCCTATTTATCCCTCCTTCCTCATAAAACCCTGGCACCACTGATCTTTTTACCGTCTTCATGGTTTTGGCCTCTTCTAGAATGTCATGTGGCTGGGATCACACTGTATGTAGCTATGTCAGATTGACTTCCTTCACTTAGAAATACATTTAAGCTTTCTCCATTCTTTTTGTGGCTTGACAGCTCATATCATTTTAGTGGTGAATAATATTCCATTATCTGGATGTACCAGTTTATTTACCTATTAGTCTACTAAAAGAGATTACATCTTGGTTACTTCCAAGGTTTGGCAATTATGAATAAAGTTGCTAGAAATGTCCATGTGTAGGTTGATTTCCAGATTTTTAAAAAAGAGACTATTTTTTAGAGAAGTTAGATAAGTAGGATTAGGAAGCAGTCTCCACAAACTCTGGGGACATTGCCCAATGCTCTGAGTAGCACTCTTGTCATCCTTCTTTCTTGCTTTTAGATGGAAGGAAAATATATAGGGTCTTTAGAAATTTCTCATTCCCATCTTATATCAGTCTCCTCTTCTCCTCATATATTCTGTTGCAGAATAAAAGAGTTTGGGTGTCATTCACTCATAGTTTTGCATAGATGGTCTGGCATCCCTCCAATGGGTAGGCAGTAAACACCAGTTTTTGTAGCTTTGGGAGCTCAGCTGAATTTCTAGGGCAACTAGAAAAATCACTTAATGCACTGTTATGTTTTGAAGAAAACAACAATAACAACAACAACAAAGAACTACTCTCCCTCCAGGTGTTGCTCAGGCTAGCAATCACTTCCAACTCTATCCTGTTTTTCTGCTATTTTTCTTCATTTTCCTAAATCAGCAGCTTTCATTGGAGATTGCTTTTGGTGCCCCCCACCCCCAATCACCACCATCAATAACATATGGCAAACTCTGGAGATATTCTGTTTTATCATGATGAGGAATTCTGCTACCATATAGGGTTAGATAGCGATACTATCAATCATCCTATAAATTCACAAGATAGTTCCCACAATACGTAAAAGGGACAGGCTTGACAAACCTTGTTTTAAGTAAAATGTTTATATTGTTATTTCCCAGTTTATCAATTTTAGATATAAACTATTAACTTTCTATTCTATTATCTACCTTTCAGTTTCACATTACTTATATCATAATTGCATGGGTTTCCGTTTCTTTTATAGAAAGTGATGCTTTCTTCTTTTTATCCCTGGTATTCAGATGTTTTGCTGTGATGTGCCTTGTTTTCAATTATTTTCCATTTTTGTCTGCAGGGTACTTAATGATTTCTCTGTCTGAAAACTCATGTACTTCAATTTTTGGAATTGCTCTTTGATAATTTCTTCCCTTTTTATTTCACCCTACTTTCTTTCTATAAGTCCTATTAGACATGATAGAACATTAGGCTTGATTCTCTGATATTTATTTTTTAAAAAACTTGTTTCATTTATTTGTGTTTTATCTCTACTGCCAAGATATTTCCTTTTCTTTATCCTCCATTTAAATGTTTTATTCTAGATATCATATTTTTAATTTCTATGAGCTCATTTTTATTATCTGATGTTTTTTTTTAAAATAGACTCCTGTCCTTGTCTCATGGATTCAACATGCTTTTATATTTCTTTAAAGATACAATAGTTTTAAACTTCTTAATTTTATCCTCTCCATCATTTCTGTTTCTGATAAATTCCTTCTCTGTGTATGGTTTGGTCTTTCTTGAAGCTTAATATATATTGGCTTGCTTTTTTTACCAATGAGTTTTATTGCTGTGCAACTGGGTGGCCAGATAATCTCTTCATTGGGGGTCCTCCAGCTGTCACTCTGTTTTTCCTCTGGGGAGAGTTCCCCATCTGCCATGGGCTATGTCTTTTTTTGTAGGCACTTTAGAGCTGAGCAGGGTGAGGGAAGAGCCTTTGTTGGCTTACAGCTGAACATGCAGACTTTCATTTAATCCTCCTGACAGCTCTAGGTGTCATCACCTTATCATTCCTTGCATGGCATAGGGTGGGCACCGGAGTGCCTATGTGCTATTTATAACACAGACATTCAGCCAATTATCTTGCTCTTGTCCTTCTGCCTGGCTCTCAGCTTTGACAATATTTGGAGCCTCCACACTCCCAGGGTTCTGTGGGGTAGGTTAATAAATTTCAGATTTCAGCTTCCTCCCTTCAGTTTTCAATTGTATATATATATATATATATATATATATATATATATATATATATATATATATATTTTTTTTTTTTTTTTTTTTTCCACCCCCACCAGGTCCACTATATCCTTTCTCCCATTCTCTTTGTCCAGGCTGGTTCATACCACTTCTCCTTCCTTTACTGATATTTTAGCAGAATTTTGAATGAAGACAAAACAGTGATTCTATCTGCCATGCTTAACCAAAAAATTCTTTCAGATATTTAAATCATTTTTCAATCACAGTAAATTTACTTTATCTTAGATTTCTATCTTTTTAATATTTTGTTTGTCATATTTATCTGTCTTCATTGATTTATGATGGGCAAAAATAGCTTTTCAATAGAAAATTGATTGTAGATAATCTATACCTCTTAGCAGCATCTGCTGGATCATTCCATGTATTGAAATAGGTTCCTTCTTTTTGAAATATCACATATGCTCCTGGTTTTCCTTTCTGATCCAGATACTCTTCTTTTCAGTCTCTTCTGCTGAGTCCTCCTTCTCTATTTGGCCTTTAATGCTGGACAGAATGTGTTCTTAGTTCTCTTCTCTTTTCACTTCACATTCTCTCCCTAGGTGCCCTTGTCTCTTGCTGTGGTTTAAATGCTCTTTAATCTGTCAAAGATTCTCTAGGCATGCCTCTTTTTTTAAGTTTGTCACATTTGAATATAAACTTGAAATATCCAATTGTCTATCTCACAAGTATCTTAAAATGCACAAGTTCAAACTTACCCTTCAATTCCATTCCTGTGATTTTTATTATTCTGCAACCATCCTTCCATCCCTCAGTAAAAGAAACCTGGGAGTCATCTTGACTATTCCTCTTCCTTATTATCCCCTCATCCAACTCAATAGCCCAGAAACCTTAAAACTATCTTTGACAATCCTTCCTCCCTCATTCTCACTAAACAGCTAGTCTTACTGATCTTACTTACAGAATACATATCACACAGTTTTCCAGTTGTTTCCATTTTTTAAAAATATTTTTTTAGTTATATATGGACATAATATCTTTATTTTGTTTATTTTTATGTGGCGCTGAGGATTGAACCCAGTGCCACACATGTGCAAGGCAAGTGCTCTGCCACCGAGCTACAGCCCCAGCCCCCAGTTGTTTCCATTTTTATAGCCATCACCCTAGTCCAAGATGAAGAAAGACAATTGATTAAAAATGAGCTTGTGAGATGACTGTGAAAACCCAAATAGGCAAAATCCTTTGGATTTCTTTGAGTATGAGTTTATTAGGTTTCCTGGAGGCACATCCTAAACTTCTGTATGCCATTGCAGGTGCTGAGGTTTTATCTTCTCCTTACCCTACCCTGGCCCCTGCCTTTGAATCTGTCCGTTTTTGCATTCTTGGGGGGTGATGGTGCCAAATGGGTATAGGAAACTATCCTCTACCTTTCTAAGATTTCAATAGATTTAATATATGTGGCAAATCAACCACTTGAAAAATTTTAAACTCAACAATTGATTGTTAGAGGAAGCATTTTTCTTAGAAATTAATTTTGGGGCCAGGAAAAGTGGTGTACACCTATAATCCCAGTGAACTGAGAAGCTGAGGCAGGAGGATCTCACTTCGAGGCAGTCTCAGCAACTTAACAGTGCCCTAAGAACTCAATAAGACCTTGTCTCAAAAAAAAAAAAAATAACAAGAGCTGGGGATGTAGCTCAGTAATAAAGTACCCCTCAATTCAATCCCAAGTACCAATAAAAAAAAGAAAGAAAGAAAGAAAAGAAAAAGAAAAAGAAAAAAAATCATTAGAAATTAATTTTCGGGAAACTGTCTAGGAAGGTAATGGATTTTTGACCAGCTAACTTAGAACCTGTTGAAGTCATTATTACCTTTGTCTATGCCAAGCCACTGGAATGAATAAATTGATATTTTGTTAAGTTCTTATATCAAATATAAAATCATAGTATATCATGATCCCTTGTAATTAGAGCATGGACTTAGAAGTCAAAAACTTTAATAACAACCACAACAAAATGTTGATTGACTTAGCAAGGTAATGCCAAATCAGTTTACTGATTTGCAAAATAGAACCACCATTTTCTGCTATGAATACTTCTGGGGCTTTTAAAGGGTAAAGTTTCTGAAGAAATCCGTTAGGAAGGTAAAAGTTATAAAAGTGATCTGATAAAAACCATACATTTGCAATCATGATGGAAAAGGGTCAAATAACTGTTCAAGGAGATGATAGCAAGGGAAACAAAAGAAGAAAAACAACAACAACAAAAGAAAAGAAAGATATTCTACTAACCTTGAGGAAGCTGAAGCACTCCAGTGCTTATGCCTGAGACCAAATCACCCAACACATACTCCTTGAATTTATATGCTGGCAACCATTTAGTTATGGGCAGAAACATATAAATGATATTTCTTATTTTTTTAGGAGTACAGCTGTGAATATAAAGACAGAAACAAAGTTATAAATAAGGAATATCTCTGCAGAGTTCACAGTGTGACATTTTCTCTTCCTCATATCCATGAGTGAGAAAGAAACATTCACAACTGATGATTCAAGGTGTTGCTAAATAGGGTCAGAGTCAGCAGTGGGGGAAAAGACAGAGGCCTGGACATTCTGGGAGACAGACGGAAGAGGTGGATATTTCAGCAGTGGGTGGAGAATTAGAAAGTGGGTCATTTGGGTAAAACTTGACACAAAAGTAAGGCATCGTAAAAGTAAAATAAACATGGTGACATCCATGATGAAGCCCAAGTTCCATCCTATGTCTAACACTGAACTGCTGTGGCTGGCTTTGCACATCAGAAGTGCTCACAATTCACTCTCCCTTCACTTCACGGTGGAACCACACAATAAAGGGAGCAGATTGGAACACAACGTACGTGAATGCCTGTTTCAGTTTATCACCAATAGAATCCGAAACCTTGTCCTTCGTGTGTAGTCTTTCCTGGAGGACTGGATGACTAAAGATGGGCCTTTCCACATAGTACCTCTGGGTTGCTGCAAGGATTTCATTTTCTTCAGCATGATCCATAGTACTCCAAAATTATTTATTAACAGCAGGAGACAAGCATTTCTTGAGAGTCACTAAGGAAGAAAATTAAAGCTTCATGTCAGATGCCAAAGTCCTACTGCTCCTAAGCATCTTCCTCACAGTATTCCTAAGTTCTGAGGACTTCTTAGACATCCAGGGCACCCAACACATTATCCTGTATACAGTAGGCACTAATAAGTAGAATAAAGTCATAATCAATACAAACATAAACGTGATTTATTTCCTCCCAAAGCAACAAGTGTACTTTCAACAAAAGCTCATCCTAAGTTCAGTGGCTAATGCTGTCTCTAGTTCATATTAAGGGGAACTGTAAGTCAGGCCAATGCTGGCCATCTGTTTATGTCAAGTAAACAGAATGGAGAGTAAGACTGCACTTAAATTGATACCCAATTTCCAGAAGGTGTATCAGCTTCCTTTCCCAATTCCATGCTTATATTTGATTACTCCTCAAATTATTCTATGGTTCAGACTGGATGTTCATGTCTCCATGATGGAAGTCCCTGTGAGGTCACAAATAAAAACTTTAGCACATTAGTATAATGTTGTTTTAAAGGTGATAATATTGTCAAGTGTTAGACTATTAGAATGGTTGATATTTTTTCCTTGCTACATAGTGAATATCTCTTATTTGAATAAAATAAATAATTGAGGAATAAAAATCTAACATATTTGTGTACCTGGAGATACATATAAGAATATTCACATGGTTTCATGACAGTAAACAATTGGTAAAAACCCAAATGTCTACTTGTATACAATAAAAAATATATTTTGGTGTATTCATAAATTGAACTCTATGCAGTTGTTAAAAGAAAGAAAATAAATCTATACATCATTATCAATCAATCTCAAAAACTTAATTTTGGAGCTGGGGTTTTGGCTCAGTGGTACAGTGCTTACCTTGCAGGTATGAGGCACCACATTAAAAAAAATAAACAAAATAAAGTTATTGTGTCCATCTACAACTAAAAAAATATTTTCAATAAAAATGTAAGGTACAATAGATATATAGAGGATGCAATTACAATAAAAAACTTACAAAGAAAAAGTGTATGTTGTTATAGCAGTATATATTTTATATATATATATATATATATATGTGTGTGTGTGTGTGTGTGTGTGTGTGTATAAAAGTACAAAAGTACAAAAGCATTTGTGACAATGGTAAACAGTAAGACCAGATGGTGTTACTTCTGGAGAGAAGGGGAATGAGACTAGGGAGGGATAGTCAGAGAGCTCCGACTAACTGTTATTGACAATGTTCAGACTGTAAAAAGAACTGGCATAATTAGAGCAAACATAAGATTTTATTGTGGTGAGTGGTAAGTAAACTGTTGTTTGCTACATGATTCTTTGTGCCTATCTTAACCGTTGAACTATATATTAATAATAAAAAGCACACAACCCTTGGGCTGGGGTTGTGGCTCAGTGGTAAAGCACTTGCCTAGCCATGTGTGAGGCATTGGGTTCTATCCTTAGCACCACATAAAAATAAACAAAACAAAGGTATTATGTCTATTAAAAAAAAGTTGCACAACCCAATATTCCCAGCAGAAGGAAGTCAAAAGCAGAGGAGCCGGGCGAACAAATGCATGGTTAGTTTTGGGTGGCGCCTATGGCATTGGGTCACTAATGTCAATGAAACTTCCTCATGGTGAAAAGTCAGGTTTTCACCAAAGTGAAACCAGTCTTGTGCAACTGGCCACAAAGCAGAATGCAAAATAAATGCATATGCCCAAAAAGACTGAAAATTCAAGAGCCTCAAATAAAATTATATGCTAAAAGCCAATGTGACCAAGTACCACCAAGAATGGTATTTAAATGCTGTGGTTTGAATGTTTCTGTCATCTCTAAAATTTGTGTTGAAACTTAATTGTCTATGCAATGAAGATGTGTGGCCTATAGGGGGGATTGAGCCAGAAGGACTCGGCCCTCATAAACGGGATTAGGTGGCCTTATAAAAGAGCCTGATGGAGGGATCCTGTCCCTTTTTGTCCCTTCTGTCAGGTGAGGACACAGTGTCCCTCCCCTCCAGGTGATGCAGCAATAAGGTGCCATCTTGGAGGTGGAGAGACCGGGCCCTCATCGGTGGGCAACTTGATCTTGGACTTCCTGGCCTCTGGAGCTGTGAGAAATAAATTTATATTGTTTATAAATGACTCAAGTCTTGGCATTTTGTTTTACCAGCATAAACGAGCCAAGGCAGGAATGACAGTCTGGGGAAGAAGGACTTTGCATCAGAATCTGATAAAGATTATACATTTTTTGTTTTAGATTAGCAAGACTGGGTGGACACCCGTCATCTGACTTTTATGCCCACTCCTAGGAACCATTTTAATACACTGAAATACAGCAGCAGAAATAAATATTAGACATCCTTATTTTTATTGTCAAGAGTTCTTTAGCTAGCCCCAACATCAGGAATCTCTCATTTACACCCATTAATCTGAAGAGTACTTGCCACCCCTGTTTTTCTCCTAGAACCTTAAACTTCATTTCATTTCATTAACCGGAACAATTTTATATATATATATATATATATATATATATATATATATATATATATATATATATATATATATATATATATATTTTTTTTAATTTAATTTTATTTTATTATTTTTTTTTTTTTTTTAAAGTTCCCAAGAAATTCAGATGACCAGGAAGACAGGCACTTGACACTTAAAATGCTGGCTTTCAACTGTGGCTAGACTGGACTCTCCTCAGACACTAAAACACTAGAGCCAGGTTCCACACACAACCTGTTCATTAGACAGCCTTTAGGAGGCAAGGCCCAGGCATTGTTTCTTAAAGCATCCTGACATGATTCTAGTGAGGAATCTAAATGGAGAACCGCCAGTTTATAACCTAAGAGAGACAGAGAAACAGATATGAAAGAGACAAGACAATCACCAAGCAGCATTTGAAAACAAAAGCAAATGACAGATTTTAGGAAATTAATAATGAATCAGTGACACAATTAAAGCCAGATTAGATTATTTTAAAAAAAACTTTATAATATATGACATAATAGAGTAATGCAACATAAAATAATAAATATGGTAAAAATAGTAAACGTACTGAGAAGTCCATGAAATCAGTTTTGAAGAGGAATTTTAAACATAGGGGCATGCTGTAGCAGTAAAAATGTTTCTCTGAATCTGCTATTTTCACTGAGGGCATTGGTTCTCAGTCCTGGTTGCACAGTGGAGTGATGTGGGCAGATTTAACTACTACTGATGCCTACCTCTACAGGCAGGGATTCTGTCTTACTTGGTCTGAAAAGCAGGCAGAGATTTAAAGTTTAAAAAGTTCTCAGGTGATGCTACTGTGCACCCAAGGTTCTAAATTAGTGACTTAGGAGATGGCAAAATAAAAACTCATACCGATCCACCCAGCTATCAACCCTACCAAACAAACAAAAAGGAAAAATATGAATACAATGTAAATAGTGTACAATGCATTGTATCAGTATCTTTACTTGTGTGTTTTTGAAATATTTAATACAAAATTACAAAGAGGAATTATTTAGCTTGGGTTTCTCAAGCAAGTCTTGCTTCTGTACTTACGTTCTCACATAAAAAGGGAATTCTATATAGATGGGCAGTTCACTGTCTCCTGAGTCTGAGGCAAATGCAGCCTTAATTGAAGGCCATTTCATTCAGAGAAAATCTCAATGCAATTTAGATCTCAAACATTAGATGGAATCAGGAAAGCATTAGGACATATTTTCTCCATAGGGTTCAGAGAAAGTACATGATGTTTGGTAGAATTTGCATGTTAGATAAGCATATTTTTTAGTATAAATATGTACCAAATATTACATGTGACATAAAAATTTATTCTTTGTTTACCTCAACTTTAACTGGGTATTCTGTATTTTTCTTTGCTAAATCTGGCAACCATAACTCCTGTAGATTAGAAAGAGACACAGTAAAGAGAGATTTCTCAAATATTTCTGAGGTTCTACAACCCTGGCTATAATCTGTGTCCTCCTAGAGAGATCTGTTTCACAGCTCAGAATGTCTCAACTGGGAAAGAAAAGAAGAGGATGTAATAGTAAAACATCCTGTTCTCATATTATGAAATCTCCTTGTTGGTTCTGCTTATTTTCATCAACAATGATTAAATAATTAAAGCCATAAAGGCTATCAATAACCACCACCTTATCAGAAGCAGAGAGGCAAAGAAATTAAGAGACATGGCAGATAATGAGCTTACAGTATATGAATTAAAAGGATGAGATCACTAAGTTGCAAAACTACACAAATCCTTATATGAGGAAAGTCACTTCTAACATGGTCTAAAGGGACAATTCTGGAGGTGCTCAAGCAAAAATACTAATGAGGCAAACTGACTGAGGGGTTAAGTCCCATTTTTCACAGCCATGAAAGAAGGGATTTAAAAATAATTTATAACATCTGTCATTCTGGGTGTTTAGATCTGAAAATATCCTTGGAGATCATCCCATTTCACTCTACCACTTAGTATGTAAGAAAATGGACTCATCTGCACTCACTTGAGAGTAAGTGACTTATCCAGAAATAGTCTCAAAACACAAACTCTATTCCCTCTTCAAAGTATGCATCAAAAAAATTTTTAAGAAAGACTCTAATTTTATTTATTTATTATGTGGTGCTGAGGATCAAACCCAGTGCCTTACCTGTGCTAGGCAAGTACTCTACCACTGAACTATAACCCCAGGCCATATGTATCAAATTTTAAAGGCAAAGATATTTACAAATAAAAGTTGTGTTAAAAATGGTAGTAACATTTTTTAACTTCAAACTAAGAGACAGAATTCATTGCTTTGTAATAATAGAACTTCTCCCTGGTTTTGTGGAAGATTCTCCACACTGAATGAGATGGTTGGAGTTCTAAACCACTTTGAGCTCTCTACAGTGTCATGCTGTGATCAACTAGACCTGGTCTTCCCAAGTCTGGTAGCATGTCAGAATCAACCAGACGGAGGTTAAAGATTTCTAGGTCTGACTTAGTAATTCTGGAATCCGAATTTTTTTAAAGCTCATGT